GGTGAGCAGGTCTGACTCTGAGCCTCAGGCTCTGCCTCTGCAAAATGGGGTCATGTCTTCCGGGGGCTCCAAGAACCACATCTGACTTGCTTTTGGGGGAAGGGGGAGCCACATCTCTGGACACATCTCTGGCCTCGGCCCCCAGGCCAACTCCAGAGTCCAATGTGGCCTGGGCAGGGGGTCCCCATGGCTCCCACCGAGGCTCCACAGGCCCCTCGTGGCTGAAGCTGAGCAGCCAAAGGGTGTGGGCAGGGGGGTGGGGGGCACAGGGCTGCCACAGGTAAAGGCCTTCTTCCTGCTGAGGTGTAAGGCAAGGAAAGGTCTGGGAGGCCACCCCACTGAGCTATTGACTTTGGATTTTTTTTCTTCTGTCTTATCTGCAAGGAACATGTATTACTATTTTTATAATAGAGAGGGGAGAAAAGCTCACTTTAAAAAAAATATGTATCTATTGGCAAAATGCCCATCCATATCAGGCCTGTGGGCCTCTGAATGTTTTCTAATTAATTTTTTAAAAATTAATTTTCCAGCAGCCCCACCCCCGGGGTTAGTGCCCAACTCTGACCAGTGGAGAGGCCAACGCCCTTCGGAGCTTCTGGCCACACCACAGTCTCGCCCGAGAGGCTGCACACCCCAAGTGGGCTGTGCACCCCGCCACCCACCACCTCCAGGGCCAGAGCCAATGAACTAACAGGCCTTTCAAAGGTGTTCCCACCTCCAGCGGGGGCCATGCAGGAGGCAGCCAATCCAGCACTCTCTCATCATTGATGTTTCTCTCTCTCTCCCTCTCCCTTCCTCTCTGAAATAGATGAAAAAGATTTTTTTTAAAAATATTTCCAGTAGACGCAGACAGGAGGAGAAGAAAGGGAGTGGAGTTGGAGGAAGCCTGACCAGGGAACTGTTCACGAGGGGCTTCTCCCCTCGGAGCTGCAGGGCAAGGCCAGGCGTGCTGAGCAGACAGGACGCGGCTTCATTGTGTTAGAAACCAGCCTGGCACCTCCGCCTGGGAGGAAGGACCCACTGGATGGAGCTGGAAAACCCTCGTGTTCCCTCCGCACGGAGCAGCGGGCACCCGGACCAATGCCCTGCCTCCGAATGTCCGTGTGGGCGGGGCACCAGGCGCCAAGGCAGCAGGGGACGCGGTGCCGTGGCCCAGGAGGCCCTTCAGCGTTTGGGAGGAGCTGGAGGAGCTGGAGGAGCGCGGCCGGCTGGTCTGACAGGGTTGGGACCAGCTTCCCCCAGAGCTGGCCCAGAGGTGACCCTGAATGCTGCAGGACGAGGCGTGCCCTCTTCCATTTGCCTGCGGGGGACAGCGCAGAGTGGGCGCTGCACCGAAGGGGGAGGAAATGCTGCGGCCGCTTCGGTGTCTCCTCACCTGCGGTGAGGGCGAGCTCACCGAGCCAGCCTTCTCCTCCAGGCTGGGAGACCAGTCCCGGTTTATCCCTGCCGTCCCAGAATTATCGCTGGTAACGTAGCTGTGTTTTTAGCAATTTTTTTAATGATAATGTTATCATATAATTGTCCCCATCCCAAACCTCTCCCCACGTATGCCCCCACTCCCCTGTTGTCCATGACCACTGGTTAGGCTTCTATGCATGCATACAGTCCTTTGGTTGATCTCTCCCCTTTACCCGCACCCTCTCCGACTTTCCCTCTGAGGTTTGACGGTCTGATCGCTGCTTCTCTGTCTCTGTTTTTGTTCATTAGTTTATGTTGCTCATTATTTCCCTTAGATGTGCGAGATCCTTGGTAATGCTGCTTTTACTCAACACATCCTGGTTTTGGGGGGAAATGATAGTCACCCTGCCCATTTCCCCGTCAAAGCTCCGTGGCAATCTTCCACCATCTCCAGGCAACTCGTCTGCTCACCAGCCTCAGACACCGCCATGCCCGACTTCACCTTCCCCACCCTGCCCTGTCCCAGGTGACCACCACCTGCAACGAAGCTGCCGGCTCCTCTCCCCCCTCCACGCAGTTCCTGGACCCCCACCCCCTCCCGCTGCTGAGCACGCTTCTGCTGCCGTTTGCCTGCCCCCCCCACACACTGGTCTGTGAATCCCTTGCAGCACAGGCTGCCTTGTTCATCCCCAAGTCCTTCCGTGGAGCCAGCCCCTGCCCCAGAGAGGCCTTTGGTGGATAATGTTTGTTAAATTAACGCACCGCCACCAATCACGGTTCCTGCCAAGGCCCAAGGAGTCAACCCGACCATCAGCTCCTTCCCAGTCCTGGCCCCACGCCCTGCAGACGTCACACTCTGAGGCAATAATGCCCAGGAGTGGGCACACTAACTGGCCAGGGGCCTGGGCCTCCAAGTCCCCAGGAGCCACAAAACCGGGGCTGCCTCAGTCAGCTCCTCAACGGCGCCCTGCGGCTCAGGCATTTTACAGCCTGAGGGCCGCAACAGGCCCATCTTCAGAGGAGAAACCGGGTCCCACCATGGCTACCACAGGCCTCACAAGCAGTGCGCCCACAACCCCCGCACTGGGACTGGAGCCATGGAAGCCACCAAAATACTAAAGATTCATACGCGAGGATGCTCACTGCGGCAGCACCTTTTAAAAGAAAATGCAAACAAAACATGGTGCGTCGTGCGAGCGCACACCCTGCCACGGAAGCTCCGGTTTGTAGGGCGAGTGGTGAGATGAGGAAATGGGCACAGCACGCAAGTGATCAGATTGCACAGCAACAGGGGCTCCATTCTATTTCTACGGCATCTTCTCGGGCAGTGGGGTTAGGCGCCTTTTTCCGTTGCTGCATCGTTCAGTCTTCCACGCTACTGCCCGGAGAAAACGGCTGTGAATCAGCCTGCGTTGCTGAGGCCGAGGGCGGGCAGCGGAGGAGATGCTGAGCCCCAAAGGCGTGGCCGCGGACCCTTGCCCAGCGCTGTGCCCGAGCCCACAGAGCTGACGTAAACCCAGGAAAAGTGGGCCGTGGGCCGGCGGCCAGGACAGCCTCCCACACTCAGGCAGCTGGAAGGCAGCCCACCTCGCAGCCCACCCGCCATTACCCTTCCCCAGCCCCTCCTCAGAACGCAGACAATTCTGGGTCTGTCACCGGCCTGTGAGCCATCCAATTCCGCCCTGGCTTAAGGCTGGCCCTTGTGCCAGGCCCCTGCAGTGCCCAGGAGAACCGAACCGGAGATCTGCCTGACCTCCCCCTGGACAGACCCTTTCTGCAGGTCACCGCCTCTGCTTGCACATCTCCAAGGACCAGCAGCTCACTGGCCACACCCATCCATCTCGGATCAAAACTCCTCCAACCCAGCCCTGGCCTGTTGGCTCAGTGGATAGCGTCAGCCTGCAGACGGAAGGCTCCCGGGTTCGAGTCCAGTCAAGGGCATGTACTTTGGTTGCAGACTCAATCCCCAGTCCTGGTTGGAACCCATGCAGGAGGCAACCAATCTTTGTGTCTCTCACATCAATGTTTCTCGCTCTCTCCCCCTCCCTTCCACTCTCCCTAAATGTTAGTGGGAAAATATCCCCAGGTGAGGATTAACAACAAACAGTCCTCCAACCAGCCCAGCTTGCTCCCCACGGCCTTTCCTCTATCACCCTCTGTCCTGTCCAAGGAGGAGGCCCACAGACAACAAGGTCCATCCCCTCCCATCCACACCGGCCTTTCGAAAAGCCCTGCTCAATCCCAGGCACACAGACCGCCTGGTCTCCCCAGCACTGACTGCGGTTAACTCCTTCCTGGAGAAGTTTCAATCCCCTCCTCCATAAACTGTGCAGCAGGCTAGCCGGGGTGAGAGGCTGCGGCTGACACAGAGGGGCTGCCTCTCTCTCCCACCCCTCCTCACTCCCCCCTCACATGTCTCCCCTCCTCCCCCCCACCATCAAAGTGATTCTTAAAGACCTTGAAGTAGAAGCCATCAGCCCCCTCTTCCCTCCCCCGCCCCCCCCCCCCGCCCTGCCTTCAGGAAACACCCTCACTGCCCTGCAGGGAGCAAACCTCTCCCTGCAGGAGTGGCGGCCCCATCAGATCCACCTGGGCTGGCTGTCTGCCCATTAGGACGCCTGACCCGTTAGCCCAGAAACTTCCCACTCTCGGATGGCTGAGCGAGGCCCCAGCCTCACACACATCCATGAGCACTGAGCCCAGCCATACCCACCCTCGCCCAGCTACATGCCATCTCCCCCCCCCCCCCCGCCCCATTCCTTGGGAGGGGCAGGGCACTGGCTCCCCTTGGCCTCCACACCACTTCCACCTCTAGGTTACCTGTCAGCGACATGAAGTTCCCTGCTCTCTGACTATGAGCAATGAGAACTCTGCATCCCCACCAGGGTTAGTGGGATGGTATCCAGAAGAGGGGGGGCGGGGTGGGGTGCGGTCAGGCCCTAGCAAGATGGTCCTCCTCTGCCCTTCTAGGGTGCAAACGGGCCTCCTCCCTCAATGCCCCTGCCCAGGGCACTCCCACTGGGACGCCAGCCCTGGAGGGCTCTGCCTGAAGGAAGCCCCCTAACCAGCATTTATATAACAACAACATAAGCATTTTATTTTTTCATTAAGCTTCTTAGTCTCTTAGTATCACAATGGAATGATGAGAAAAAAAAAAAATCTCATGAATCTGCCCATCTCTAACACAGAGCAGAGTCTTTGAGGCAATCGGGGGAAGGGGTGGTAGAAGTGCCAAAAATTCCAACGTCACATCTCTCCGTGGCGATGAGGCCGGAGGGGGCGGGGGTGGAATGGTGAGAAGGTGGCACTGTCCTAGTGGTCCTTGGCATTTGTGTCATGACTGACATGCGATGATCTGCACAGAGCACCCGCAGGCTCTCCTGGTGCCGGCCACATGCCCTCCGTCTGTGCAGACGCCCAGGCTTTCCAGCCAGTGCTGAGCACAGCCGGCAGCCAGCTCTGCCGGTGGGCAGCGGGAGAGCTGCGTGGAGGGCGGAGGGCAGGCCAGCAGCTCAGGGTGTGTGAGTCCGAGGAGTCCCCGAGGCTGGTCCGGGAGCAGCGCGGAAGGCGATGGCACAGGCCGAGGCCTCGGGAGCGGGCGCCTAGAGCTTCACGGTGCCGGGCGGCAGGCTGTCGTTGCAGAGTCTGTAGTAGCGCAGGTCGTTGACCAGCCTGTGCACATTCTGGGTGAACGAGGGCAGGTCCTGGAAGGCATGGGCACAGCTACAGCCTGGCCGCACCCAGCACCCCGTCACCCACCCGCCCACCAGCACGCCCACCCCAGGGAGCACTCCTGTACGCAACGGGCCACTTCCGCTCCCTCCCGCGCGTGTGAGCGCACAGGCCCCGTGGGGAGAGGGAGGGCGAGGCTGCCCCCGTGTGCCCGGCCAGGCTCGGAGGCGTGGAGGCTGGGAAGCAGGCCTCAGTGACAAGGCGGAGGGAAAGGGGCGCTGGTCGGGCTGCCAGTGTCTCCCCTTCACCGAGTCCTGTCCAGCATGTCCACAGACTCTCTTCCCAGTGCTCCAGGCAGGCCTGCCACTTAAGGAGCCCGCCTGTACTCGTAATCTCACCTGCTGACCACCGCCACCGGCTGGGCCGCAGACAGCGAAGAGAGGGATCCTCGCAGCTGAACCCCACACCCTCCCAGGCAGTACTAGGAGGTGGCCGAGGCTGCACCCTCATCTTTACAGCGTGAATACAGATGCTGGACCACCCAGCAAAGCGTGAGCAACACCAATGGCTCCTGCCACAGTGTGGGCAGCTCCATCTGAAGCTCCGCTGGCCGGGGGCTCAGGGAAGAGCGAGGCACCTCCAGCCGCCTCCTCCCTGGCTCCCTCCCTCCTCTTCAAGCTGCAGTGCAAGGCCTGCCTCTGCCCAAAGCCCTCAGACGTCCGTTTCCAGGCTCCTAGGGGCAGGTCCGCGCCCCTCTGCTGAGCTCTCAGCGCCCTGCCCATCTGCTGTGGACAGTGCACGCAGCCCTGCAGCCAGGGCGCCAGGCCTGGCCCGCCCCCTGCTCTCCCATTCCCTAGTTCTGCACCTGCCAACTGATGGCTGGCCTTTCTGAGCATGGGTTCGCCTGGGAATGGGGTTAAAGGGGCCCATGCATCAGAAAGCCAGTAAGGTCTGTGCCAGGCTTCCCAACAGTGCGTTATGAAGGCAGAGATGGTGCCCACCCTGCCCAGGCCCTGCGAGGAGCTGGCTTCAACCAGACAGTGAGTGAGCGAGCGAGTGAGGGATCCTTTACGTCCTCCTCAAGAAAACATACCAGCGGGTCTCTTAAACCAGCCGCTTCCAAATTCCAGCCTGAACTTCCTGGTGGAGCACAGGTATCACTGTCTGTGTGTTAAGTGCCAGGAGCTCTGAGGCATGACTAAATGTGGAACCCACCGATAACGGCATCGGGAGAATCTGATCACTATTAGAATTTGGACTCCAGAGCAGCGGTCGCCAGCTGGTGGTCTGCGGACCTGATGGCCCGTGAGGTCCGAAAGGCTGGCGACCGCTGCTCTAGGAAAGAAAGGCAACTCAGTGGCTGAAGCTTTAAGCCCCGGAGCCAACAGGTAGACGCCAGGGAAGAAAGGCTTCGGAAGACAGGAGCCGAGTCTAAGAAAGGCACGCGCTGCCTCAAAGCCACGCGGGAAGGCCGCCTGCCCCCACCGAGCGGGACCAGGCGTGAGCCCGCCGCCCCCCCTGCAGCCTGGCCTCTCTCCTCACCCGATCCATCTTGAAGTTCCGCCCCAGCACGTTCTTCTGGTTGGCATCCACGCCGTCACAGCCGCTCAGGAACTCGGGGAGGAAGGCTGCGAAGAAGCCGTCGAAGTCCACGGAGGCCATGTTGTAGATGGCGATGGCGATCTCCTCCTGCAGGAGGTCGTGGGACTTGTGCACCAGCACCTGCAGCAGCACGTTCACGAACTGGAACAGCATGGTGGTCCGGAAGATCTTCTGCAGAAGAGCCAGAGTGACGCGGGCGCCGGGGCTCGGGGCCTCTCCGGGTCCAACCAGGGCCAGCGCCATGGATGAGGAGCCTTCTGGGAAATGGGCACTCACCTTGTGGTACAGCTTCTGCTTGGTGTTGAGTGTCTCCAAGTAGAAGAGGTTTTGTTTAAATAGGTGGATGTCAGGCTGCAGAAAGGACTGTCCAAAAGCCTGTCCAAGAAATAAGACCACCGTTCTACTGGCAGCACGAAGCACCGCCAGGCCCTCTGGGCACCCTCCCCCACAGGGAGATACCCCAGGAGGGGCTCCTTCCGCCACCGCAGTCTCCCCGCCTGTCTGGTCCGGTCTCAGGAGTGGTCCGTGGAGTCCTGTCTCCTAAGTCCTTCCACTGGGTCCGACTTCTTCTGGTCCCACCCTGCCCTGGGAGAGCTTGTTCGGAGGCTCCAGCGGGGGAGCGCAGCTACTCGTACGCCCTGGACCAAACACCGGTTCTCTCCCCTGGGGGAACGCCACGCTCTTTGACCGAGCACACAGCTTCGGGAGGACACATATGGAGTGGTGAGGGAGGAGGGGACACCCGCCAGCCAGCCATATCAGCCGAATCAACCCTGGCGATCAAGGGGGTGACATGTCACAGCCAGATCGCTCTCACATCCTCATCCTACATCTTTTGTAATGAACCTCTAGACTCCTTCAGGAAGACTTATCTTTGAAGCAAAAAGCTAAAAACTAAGACAAATAGCTAAGCCTCCCCTCAAGACAACTACTCACAACTCCCATAAGCCCTCTCCCTGGCATCCTAGGTCTTACAAAACAAAATCCTTAGAGGCTCGTCACAACCAGCTGCCTCTGTCTTAGAATTAAGCAATAGCAAATTTTTAAACTGCTTTGTAATTTCTGGGCTGTAAAAGTTAGAACCTCCCCCACAAAAAACAAAAACAAAACAAAAAACACAAAAATACCACAAAGAGCCTTGTGCCAATGAAGACGGGGAGAATGGGGCAGGTCAATGATAGGCAGACCAGTCGTGTGCAGGACACCCCCCAGAATAAGCCAGGTATGGCCTTTTCATTCTGTCCTAAGCTTCAAGGGTCTTGTAACTCCTGCTGCAGTGATCTCTATGCCCACTGGTTTCCACTCATTTTTTCAAGTATGGTTTACCAAGTCTAACACAGAGTAAAATCCTCCCGCCACTCCCCTCTGAGGGTCACCTTTATATAATTCTGACCCACCCCCCCAGTGTCTAACCACCATCACAATGGAGATAAGAACCTCCAGCTCCTCAAAGTTTCCTCCAGCCTCAGGCAACCACTGCTCATTTCCTGTCTTAGGCCTGCCTCTTCCAGAACGTAATAGAATGCAATCATGCCAAGCGTGTCAAACTCACAGCCGGAAGGCTGCATATCTCGTTTAAATAAATGAGGCATGTGGCCCATTGACCACGAGTTTGACATGCTTGAATTGTAGACAGCCTTCTGAATCCAGCTTCTTCACCTACCATAAAGTAAAATAATGTATTTACACTGCCGTTTGTATGTTCCTTTTTTTTTCTTTTTTTCTTTTTTTTTTTTTCAATTCAGTATCACCTGAGGATATTTCTCCATTGATTTTTTTTTCGGAGAGGAAGAGACAGAGCGAAACATCAATGTGAGACACGTTGATTAGGTATATGCCCTTGACAGGAATTGAACCCAGGACCCTCAAATCCGAGGGCCAATGCTCTATCTACTACCCTGTTTCCCCGAAAATAAGACAGTGTCTTATATTAATTTTTGGTCCCAAAGATGCACTAGGTCTTATTTTCAGGGGATGTCTTATTTTTCCATGAAGAAGAATATGGTACACATTTATTGTTAAATGAAAATAAAGGAAACTTATTACCTGTATACGATATGGTAGTACGGTAGTTGTCAACACAAACCAGACAAACTGAATCATTTACTCACTTATTCAATAACAATCATGTCATCATCATCTGGAACATCATAATGACAATCCAATTCCTGAATTTCCTGGTGAATTTCTTGTGACTCCATTTCTTTCAGAATCAGTGGACCAAATCTCTCATATTTAGCAATAGCATTCTGAGACAGAGCCTAGGGGGGCCTTATTTTCTGGGGGATGCCTTATATTTCACTCAGAAGGAAACCTGTAAGTAGGTCTTATTTTCGGAGGATGTTTTATTTTCGGGGAAACACGGTAAGCCAAACCAGCTAAGGCTGTTTCTTTCTTTCTTTTTTTTAATCCTTACCTGAGGATATGTTTATTGATTTGAAGGTGAGAGGAGACAGAGAAAGAGGGAGGGAGGGAATAAGAGAGAAAAAAAACATCAATGTGAGAGAGAAACATCGATCAGTTGCCTCTTGTATGCCTCCAGTGGGGAATCAAATCCACAACCCAGCTATGAGCCCCGATTGGGAATTGAACCCACAACCCTTTCATGTATGCAATGATACTCCACCTGTCTGAGCCGCCCACCTGGCCAGGGCAATATGTTCCTTTGTATTGTTGAGCAGCAGGCTCTTGCATGCATGCATCACTATTTACTCACTACCAGCAACAGGTATTTGGAAATACTTTTAAAAGCCACTGTAAATTCTTGTGCACAGGTGAATATATGTTTTCATGTGTCTTGGGTAAAATACTTAGCCGTGGAAACTGTTTTCCAACGTGGCTTTTACCAATACTGTCTACCAAAGAAGACTTCAAAGCGAGGACAGAGGTTAAGAGGAAGGCAGAGGAGACAAACACTTAGTACTCCACACCGAAGCCCGAGGTGGGAGCTGGCGATGGAAGTTCAGCGAAGTGATTGCAGGAAGCCCGGGGCAGGCAGGTGCTTTTCCAGAGAGATCCCCACACAAGGGGTTTGGGTGCATGTGTGCTGGTGGGAGCTGAAGGGTGAGGAAAAGCAAGCACTGAAAAAACAAAAGAAAACCTTCCTCTTCAGCCTAGACCTGGAACACAGATTGTCTTATGCACTGAGTGCAGAGCCCGAGCAGCACTGACAGCTGGCCGCCATTTAAGGGGTGGCCTCGTCTTCCACAGCAGGTGTGGCTGCCCCCGAGAGCCCGCTCCCTAGACTTAACAGTCACACCTGATCTGAGAGGGACCCGAGGCACAGGCAGCGCTTCTCCCAATTCTGTCCTAGCCAGAATCCTCCCTACAGATGCGGCATGGGCCCCTCCTCCAGAGACTCTGAGTCAGTTGGCTTCCCGTAAAGAGAGCCTGTGATGCGGATGCCATGTCATCCCACTCGACACCTGGAGACTGAGGATCTGAGAAGTGAATTAAGTGCGCAGTGCTGAGAGGCGGTACTTGTCGAAGTGGGCACGTTAGGGAAGGACTGAGCGTCAGAGAAGCCAAGGACTGACAGCACCAGACCCAGGGGTCCCGAACGAGGCCTGTCTGTTCTCGGGTCACAGGCAACCTCAGCAGCTCTTCTACGTTACCTGCATGATGGCACTGAACTGAGGCTCGTTCTCCATCTGCTCCTCGGCAGCCCCCCTCTGGACACTCGCCAGGACAGTGGACTTGAAGAAGTACCTCCAGTTGTGATGGAGTGTCCGGAAAAGGAGCTCAAACAGCTCAGCCTTCACGTCAGGGGAGGGGCGCTGCAGAGACACACAGAGACCCTCAAACCTTCCCCTCTTGCGGCTCAGGAGTTACTCACAGCCCAGGCCCAGAGCAATAAAGAGGTCTCACAGATGCCTGGCAACAGCAAGCTGTCAGCTTCCCACCCACACCTGTCCTATCAGCAGGTCAGATCAAGAGTACTTGGCAGAAACGGGCTGCCTGAGACAGAATGCCTGGGTTGTGCCAAGGGGCTCTTTTCCGATGGAAACACTCAGGTTTTCAAGCTCAGAAAAGGCTATTAAATGGAAGAACAATTAGGAAAACGGCTTTTCTGTTCAGAAAGCAGCTCATCTCATCTATCATAGTCTTGGTAGTTGTTCCTTTTCCCAGGATAAACAATGCTGTGCAACTAACCTCCATAGAAAGTGGGCTTAAGGGGCACTTAGGAGCCACAGAAAGAAGCCTCAGAGGGTCTGGGGGAGGCAGCACCTCTGAGAGAGGGAGGGGAGCAGCCTGCAGGGCTGACTGCTCTCTAGGCCTGTCTCCTTTTTCACTGGCAGCTGGGATTCTGGGATGAGGAGAGGAGTGGGAGGCAGTCTGCTCGGCAATATTTTCTAATTTGAACAAAAATCTCCAAGTCACTAGAGGGCATGACAGGTCACATTATTCCAGATGGGTCTGGAGAATTCAAAATGATAAGGCCCTGATATATTTAATTCAGCTGATTAAGAAGAAATTGAGACAGAAGGCATGAGCTTCCAAGGCAGGAATCCTTACAGGGCCCACTTGTGTTTAATGATGCAAAGCAAGTGGATTCACTTAAGCCTTAATTTGGACAGTTAAAAGGTTAGCTCTTATTTACGGAACTATTACATAAAATTTAGTTAATCTACTCATTCTGGATCTTGTCATTGCTGTGTCCGTCTGTTCTTCAGGAAGAACAGAGGCTTGCTGTAACAAGGAAAGCTTTGTATCATTCTGAAAACTTGCCTCGTATCCTGGAGATCATGAATGCTCTTGATAGAAAAAGTACATCCTATATAATAAAAGGCTAATATGCAAATCAACCAAACAGAGGAACAACCGGTTGCTATGACACACACTGACCACCAGGGAGCAGACACTCGATGCAGGAGCTTCCTCCTGATGGTCAGTGCGTTCTCACAGGGGGAACGCCCTCCAGGAAGAAGCTGGGCTCACAGGTTGGCAAGTGCAGTAGCAGAGGCAGGAATTTCATGCACCCGGCCTCTAGTTTGTTACAATGTTTGCTGTAGAAAACTATATTCACCTAAAGTTACAAACTGTTTGCCAGGGAGGTTGATCTTTACCAATCAACCTTGCTTACACTAGACTAGATGTAACTAATTCAACCAATATAAAAATATTGTACCAAGCTAAAGGCATTCTTTTTTTTTTTTAAATATATTTTATTGAATTTTTACAGAGAGGAAGGGAGAGGGAGAGAGGGATAGAGAATTAGAAACATCGATGAGAGAGAAACATTAATTAGCTGCTTCCTGCACACCCCCCACTAGAGATATGCCCACAACCAAGGTACATGCCCTTGACCGGAATCGAACCTGGGACCCTTTAGTCTGCAGGCCAACACTCTATCCACTGAGCCAAACCCGTTAGGGCTAAAGGCACTCTTTCTTAGAAAAAAATTATTTTACAAAAATAGAATAAAATAAAATAAAATAACAAATTAAAACACAATTCCTTTTCCTTACTATTTCATTCCTTCCCCAATTGGAGGGGACAAGCCAAGCCGCATACCTCGGCGATGATGGGATACACCTGCTCCATGCTCAGGGAGATGATGCTGGGGAGGAAGGGCTTGAACACCTGGCCGGGCTCCTGTACCACCACCTGCAGGATCTTCAGGAACTTCTCCACCACCCGGCAGCCGGTGCTGCCTTCGTGGAGGATGCTCTCGGCTAGTTGTTCTCTGCAGACAAAGAAACCACACAGTAGCCAAGGAATGTTTCTCTGGGACCAGCATGACACCAACACTGTGGCAAGTGAAGAAGAGGAGCAAAAGCCCCACACTTCGTAGCTGGGCCCCGCCACTTCCCCTTGAAATTTGAAAACCATGGACAACAAGTGTGTGGTTACCTGGTAAACATATTGAGGAAAGTCTGTATGATCTGTTCAGTGAAAGGCACACCCATCTGTACTCTAAGGCCTCGAAACAAAGTGAGGAAAAAGCTCAGCATCTCATCAGTCACATCTAAACAAAGGACAAAGCAAATGATCAGAGGCCTGCACACAGGGATAACGGAAGCCTCTGGCTTGACAGCTTGACAGACTTCCTCTTGCAATCTGCTCTATCATCTCTCTAAGGCTTCCTGCTGAAGAAATTTCCCCAACACCATCAGAGCGGGTGACGGAAAGTGGGAAATGATTAGGGACATGCTGAGAAAACAGCTCTGGTGTAGTGAGCCTCGGCTGATGGCTCCAGATAGGAAATGGAGCCTCCCTCGCCGCCCAGTCCCAGCCGAGTTCAGAGTTTTCACTGCAGATGGAGTATTTTGCACACACACTGATGCAACTATTCAATCGGGTCAACACCAAAGTGCTTCAGCAGTTTCTCTCTGTGACCAATAACCCTGCAGTGAGGGTTAAATCAGGATTAAATGACCAAAAGTGGACAATGAAGATATCTTCAGATGGCTTGACCCTCATCCATTAAATGCATTAATGTCAGAAAACATTGGTTTCATTTAATATAGTTTCACTTCCAGATCTAAACAACCATCTTGTATAGTATGTTTCAGCTCCAACCACACAAACTGCTTACAAAAGGCAATCAGTGAATTTTTGCTGACTCAGAAACCCCCAATATCTCATGAATTTCTGCTGACTCAGAAACCCCAATATCTCCTACCACTGTAAATGCTCTCACATACCTGCAGAGCTAGACAGAGCCCTTAGTGACAACAGCAGCGCGGGGTGCAGCAGACCCACCTTGCCATATGTGTAAGTAAATAGCATTTGTGGAAAGAAGGTCTCTTTCCTCTCCTGTATAATGAATGCCCCGTTACTCTCAGCCATTTAGCTCCACACAGGAGAAGGCAAAGCCTTCAAAATAAAAACGAGGCAAGTAACTCAGTGCCACCTGACACAGGTGTAAAGCCCACGTGAAGGCTCCCTGGGGCCTGAGCCCCAGACCCCCACATAAACCTCACTGCCCTCTGCCTTCAGTCAATGCCTGAACTGCTGACGGGGGCGCTCTACAGAGCTAAGCAGTGACTGGCCCCCTGTGCGGCCTGTGGCCAGCTCCTACCTGACTGATGGATGAAAGCTGGAAAGAGGGCCAGGGAGACCTGAACGGATTCCTGCAGTGACTGGTAGCAGATCTGCCGGGACTTGGTGGATTCCCCGGAGATACTCTCCACGATATCTTCTAAGACACTAAGTGTCTGGTGGATAATCACTTTGGCTGCAAAGCAAGATTAAGTTGCATGTTACGACTTGTCTGATGATCAAGAGTAAGACAAGGGAAGGAGAAGAGATCTGCAAGGGTATTTAGAGGACAGTGACACAGACATAGTCACAGTGACACGGGAATAGTCTCTCTCGATTTTTTCTCTCTCTCCAGTTCCTCCCCTCTCCTTTTCTACCTTTCCTTCCTCCCCCCCTTTTTTACTGTCAGAACTCCATGTGCCCGCTCAGTTTGTCCCTCTATCCTGCTTCTACCCACCAGAAACAAGTCCACAGAGAAGGAAAGATCAAATGTAGCCTCAGGTTAGGTGCCTTAGACTTAAGCCTCTAAAATGGTGAACAAACTGGTGAGAAAACCAGGGTCACAGTAATTACCACAGGCAAGAAGGGCACATGGAGATCAAACACTCTCCTTCAACTCCAAATCTGGCCCTCGCCTGGTAATCCACACAGCAGTGCCACGCACATCATGAAATAAAGGAACCTCACTTTACGTGCTGGGAAGCCCTGAAGGGGGACCTCTCACACATGCACCGCTAGTTGCAGCCTACATAACCAGCAGAAAGAAGGTAAGAATTATTTTGACAAAGGAAGTCATTTTTTACTTAGCAATTTCATCTGCTTTCAAGAGAAAAAGATCCCTCCCTGCCCCAGCAATAATGCACTAACCCCCAACTTGCACCAAATGAGAAAGAAACTGCTACAATCTCAAACTCTTGTTCTCCTACAATGAACTTCAGTTCAAAACAACCCTCCCCACCCTAGTTTCCTCCTAAAAGCTAATAAAAGCTGTCTTACCTTTTGTCTCTTCGAACTTGCCTGCAGCTTGCTACATTTTTTTTGTTCCATATTGCAATTCTCTGCTACTCCCTAATCACATTTTGCTGATAAAATAACTGGCTGTTTATTCTTGAGATGACATTATGTGGTGTCAGAAGTGAGACCCAAAGGAGACAAAGCCCTGAGGACCTAACAACCTCTGGAACTAGGGGAGGCATCCCCTTGAGCCTTTTGGGTTCTACACTTCCACGAACTGGTTTTTTTTTTTTTTCCTTTTGGTTAGATAAATGTGTAAGATGCCCAGCTCCCTCCCTTTAGTTAAGCTCTCTGACTTTATCTGGGACCTATTTAAAGGTTTCATACTACCCTGGCTGGAGTGGTCAGGAGTTAAGAGTGCCAGCCCAGACAATGAAGGGTCTCAGGGCACATACCACGATTGCAGGTTCGATCCCGGTTCTGTGCTGGAGGCAACCAATCAATGAAAAAAATATTATCAGATGAGAATTAACCAAAATAATAGTAATAAAGGTTTTATCTTTTCTGTTTTTATCAAGTCACTGCTCTTCCTGGTGAGTACCTCTTTCTGTTTGGGATTACAATGGCCATAACTAATTGTTTTAAATTAGTCCACCTTAAGGGGCACTCTTAAAAGAGAGAATTCCACTCCTCTGGGAAACAATTAAATGAATCCTTTGATTGGTATGCAGAAGCTTTTTTTAAAAAAAATATATTTTATTGATTTTTTACAGAGAGGAAGAGAGAGGGATAGAGAGTTAGAAACATCGATGAGAGAGAATCATCCATCAGCTGCCTTTTGCACGTCTCCTACTGGGGCTGGGGATGTGCCCGCAACCCAGGTACATGCCCTTGACTAGAATCAAACCCGGGACCTTTCAGTCCGCAGACCGACGCTCTATCCATTGAGCCAAACCGGTTTCGGCAAGTATGCAGAAGCTTTTAAGGGACAAGTAACTTGAAAAAGAGCTTTAAAAAGGATCCTTACAGCATGCAATTTTTAAAAATCTTTAATTTAAAACTTTGGCCATCTAAACAAGTAACCTTAACTTAGTCCACCTGCCAAAAACACAATTTGGGTCCAACTATTCTTCTGAACTTTATGCCTGAGACATGGCTAATATTTTTAAAAATCAGTTTGTATTGTGTGTGTGTGTGTGTGTGTGTAATATCTTCCTATCTCTGAATGGTATTACCAAAATACCATTATTTGTAATGTATTCAATGAGTTTTAAAAGATTAAGCATTTATATAAATTAAGAATACTTTCAGAAATATACTCAACATTAATGTTAGTTCCAGGTTGTTGGTTTAATTAAAACAGGCATGTCTTTCGAATTATTTACTTTCATTTTACCTAGATTTACTGAAAAGTCAAATAAGTTCATATTATCTCTATTATGAAATTTGTCAGCTAGGAAATTAAGATAATGGTTAGCTGGTTTAATGTTCAATCCAAGCATAATTGTTAAAAACAAGTAATTTAAAGAAATACAAAGAAGATCAAACTAAGTAACAGATATTCATTGAATATCTAAATCACTTCCAATTAGATAAACATTAAATGCTAAAAATAAGTATAATCATTTTTGGCATTTTAATTTTGCCCCAAAAAAGTTTATTATGAGAAAAAATATACTTCCAAAAATTTTGAAATGTATTTATAACTTTGTTAACTTATTATTGGATGCAAATTTATTAAAAACAGTCACAACTGTTTGCTTTCTACTTTTCACTGAAAAGCAAAGATTCTAAATAGTTTAAAAAGTTGGAAGAGCTAAAAATACAAATGAACCAAAGAGAAAATGTTAACACTTGAGTAATAAACATGAACTAATTCTGCACAAACGATGAGCATCAATGCTGAGAATGCAGACAAAGGAGCAGGCAGGCCTTTGGAAGATAAGCAGTCACGAGCTCCTAGGAGAGTTTCTCCTACTATAGAAAGACTTCCTGGTTCTCAAACTGTGGTGAGAGATTATTGGTGAGTGATGATTAACATTTACTTAAATAGAAAATATACGTAGTATCTATTATTTGCCTATACTGACAAATGTAAATTACATATCTTTAATACTATCTATAATTTAGGTTATAGATTATTTATATATAAATAGAATAATCTTATAAAATGCAAAATGGGGTGCATGCATGGCATATACTGAAAATAGTAAAGACATGTCCATTTATTAAACTTATTTGTTACTTATGGGCCATAATATACACTATATTCCTTGCTATGAAATGACCCCACATATTTGAAAGCCATTGCTTTTATACCACAGTGAACTGAGCAAACCAAAGTGTCTGCAGGGGCTGAAAAGGCCAATACACGAACAAGCACCCTTTCTGTCCTGTCACACACAGTGCTAACTCAAGGCCAGGCTATAATCGCTCTTTGATAAGCTCATACTCTGTTGCCTTGTCTTTTTAGATTTGTAGCCAGGCAGTAATCTTTATTTAGAACTTCCCCATTTCTTATAATTACTTGCAAGGCCGGAAATTCTGGTGGTGGCTTCCAAGGTATTTATAGGTCTGCCACAAGTTTAGTTGTCCCATCTTTCAAATCTTTATTCTCCCTACTCAACATGAGCAATACTCTTCAGCAGTAATGTCGGCATCCTACTGCCCATCTGTTCTAATCATCCCCAGTCTCACAAAGACATGAATGAATATAATCCCAGAAAGCATGTGGCTGATTTTAACTATGTTATGTAGTTTACATTCATTTAATGTAACACAAGGTAATTATGCTATCCTTAAGAGTAAGCCTGCAGTTATTCTGTAACAACTGCCTTGCATCATTTTTCTTTTAAATATGTTTTTATTGATTTTTAGAGAGAGAGGGAGATAGAAACATCATTGATTGGCTGCCTCCTACATGCACCCAAACGGGGGACTAAACCCAAAACCCGGGCATGTGCCCTTACAGGAAATCAAATCATGACCTCCTGGTTCAAAGGTCAATGCTCAATCACTGACCACAACAGTGGGGATCATTTCTGTTTTTAGATAAGCTTTATAAGTGTTTAGAATGGAGGTCAATTTGAACCAAAAAATTGAAATTATCAGGAAAAGGGTTAATAAAACTAGAAAATAACAAAGGTGAAAAAAAATGACTATATATGAAAAGTAGGATGTGTATTTTTAATGAAAGAAGATATGAGGAATGGAGATAGTTTTTGGTATGAGGGGAAGAAAAAGCAATTTTTGTCCTAAAGTAAAATGAATGTCCCAAAACAAGAACAAAGATAAGACATAACCTAATTGGATATAAAAAGTCACAGAAGGTTTATGGAAATCTTGAGAAAGGAACTGTATGTGGTGACTGGAGATTGAAATTCTAGCAACTATAGTTTGCTTGTCCTCGATTGCAATTGTCTGCTCTTCCCAAATATGCCCATACCGCTGGTACAATAATTGGCTGTTTTACTTTAGAGGGTGACAACATCTACTGCTGTGTTCAAAAATAAAATTCTTAAATAAAGGGCCTGTGACAATAGGTATAATTATTATTATGCTGTATTATAGTATATGTTGACAACATAAACTTTTAACAATACCCTATGGTGTGAGCTCACTGAATGAGTGCATACAGCGCACAGGGAAACAGAGCCAGTGGCCAGCAAAGAGCAGGAGTCCAGAAGAAAGAGAGGGCCAGAGGATTCTGGACATGAAGGTGGATGATCACTAGATGGCCACACATACAGGCGGGATCCTGGTCCGTACACTGAGGACAGTCAACAGCCCCCCACTGCGGGGTGGCTGTGATGATCACAGACAAGGTTCAGAATAATCCTGGCAACATGACTGACTCGTTTGGTGTGCGCAACAGAAAATATTTCGCTTTGGAGAACAAGAAAAATAGGTTTATTTGTGTTACGTTTATTAATTTGTGCAGTTATTCAGTGTCTGGTAAGTTAATGTGCAAGAAAAAATTATTAAATTTTATTAAAATGTTCCATTTTTTTATGTTGATGACTCACTTATTTCAGATCTTTATATTTAGCATGTCTCTATCGAAATAAACCTGTTTCTATGAAAATTGAAGCTTTTGGTTTTTTGCAGCCCACATACTGTCCTAGTAAACTTAAACCTTGTTTTCTTGGCCCGTATTAGCCTTTGAGTTTGACATTCTTGGCATGAAGCAATGCAATAGGAAGTACATATCACCGTAGTATTTCTGCCAAAAATTGCTATGAGAATAAGATTATAGCATATCCCACCAAAACATAGGCCTGAAATCTTCAAACACGTCAATATCATGAAGAAGAAAAAAACAAGAATGCTTTTCTATATTAAAAGAGGCTAAAATGTGGCAACCAAATACAATCATGATCCTTGATTGGATCCTGGACTTTTAAAAAGCAACACAGGACAGTTTGGTAATGACTAGGGAAAATGTGGACACGTCTATAATGTAGATGACATTATTATAACAATGTTACAAGGTTTGGTTGTGTTAATGGTGTTTGGGATATATATGAGAATATCTTGTTCTAAAAAATAAAGTTTAAATATTCAGGAATAAAGTACCAATGTCTGCAATGTACTACAAATGCCTCAGTTAAAAAGAAAAAGTGCCCGGAGCATCCAGGCCCAGAACAGCATCCAGGCCCAGAACAGCATCCAGGCCCGGAACAGCATCCAGGCCCGGAACAGCAGCCAGGCCCGGAGTGTTGTGGGGTCGAACCCTGGGTTCACAAAATGAAAGGAAAGAAGGAGCAATGCAGCCAATTCGGGTGCCAGAGTGTTAGGTCCGCCATCACAATGGACTCAGAGAAGCTCCTGTATCCCTTCACCCAAAAGCACTGAGAGTTGCCCAGACGACAGCAAAGTGGGAGAAGAAAACTGAAGGCTACGCAAGGGACTGAGGTGCCAACACGGAGTCATCTGAAGAAATTAAAGACTGAAGTGGAAGCTACTTCTTTAATCATGTTCCTGCTCATGCTAGCGTCTGTTAGCTTCCAGTCTTCTGCAAAGTCTGTGCAGCAAGTCCAAGGACTCTGAGTAAATCTACACCAGCAACAAAAGAGACTCATTTAGTAGCTAAAAATATTAATATGTCCATAATTCTGATTTATCATTTTGTTGTTTTGCATTGGCATTGTTGCTATTATTTAACAGCCAGAGTTTTGCTCTTGACATTCAAGTTTGGAAAATAACATATATGTAATTTAATTTTTGCATTGGCATTGTTTGCAATTGTTTTTAATTTTAGAGCCCTATTATTAATGTTTAAATTTTATTTTAATTAGTAAAAAAGGGTGAGATGTAAAAAAAAAAAAAAAAAAAAAAAAAGTACATGTAAGTGGAAAAGAACACAAATATGGCAATATATTAATAATTGGTGAATCCTGGTGAAAGATACACAATTGTTCATTTTCTCATTTTTTTCAACTGACCTATAGGTTAGAAAATTTTTCAAAGTTGAGCTAGAAAAACCTTTCCAGGCCTTCATTTTATCTCTTGGAGAATGAGGATAATAAGCTATATACACACGGACTATAGGGAAGACTAAATGAAATGATATATATGAAGTTCTCAGCCCACACCTGGCACACAGTACACACTTGACAAATGCTATGTTTTTAATTATGTTCACTGTGGAAATCATTATACCTATTCAGCAAAATTTCCAGCACATGGTGGCATCACACTTTCCATCTGCTATGTGAATGATGGACACAGAATCATATGTCCTGGCCAACAAAATGAGTGGAAATAAGTGTCACTTCTAAGCAAGAGCCCTTCCAGGTAACCATGAACCGAAATGGGCCTTTCATAGCCTGGGTTCTTGAGTGACTAGAAGAGCAGAATTTTCCCAAACCTTGACCTAGGCTGGACATGCGAAATCAACAAGAAATAAGTGTTTTCCTAGAGTAAGCCACTAAGCTTTGGGGATTATTTCTCACACATAGCATAACCTAGCCTATGCTGACTGATGTAGTTGTAATATAAAGTAAGAAGGGAAGACCATTAAACTTTATAAAGCATGGTTCTATAGTAACTGTATGTAAACCCTGAGCAAATTATTTAACATTCCCGTATCTTGTTTCCTCATGAATAAAATCAGGATAATTCACAGTACCTAACTCATAAGGATGACCTGAGAATTAAATGGATGTAAAACACTCAGGGTCAGACAAATACCAGACGCTGACAGCTGACGCTGGCACAGCCAGAGATTTGCTGATGGAAGATCACTAAGGCAGGCAAGCCCTTATGCAGTGTACTCTTAGAAATCAGCCCTTCATTCAACAAGCTATTTAAAATGGTTACTTGGGCCGGGACCGGTTTGGCTCAATGGACAGAGCATCGGCTTGGGGACTGAAGGGTCCCGGGTTCGATTCCGGTCAGGGCATGTACCTTGGTTGCGGGCATATCCCCAGTAGGGGGTGTGCAAGAGGCAGCTGATCGATGACTCTCTCTCATCGATGTTTCTAAGTCTCTCTCCCTTCCTCTCTGTATAAAATCAATAAAATATATTTAAATAAATAAATAAATAAATAAATAAATAAATAAATAAAATGGTTACTTTGTAAAGTATAAAACTGATGAGATTTAAGAGTTTTTCTTTTCTACTTTAACTCTTCTAATATCTCCTTTTTATTTTCTTTATGAATTAAGGTATTATATATGTGTCCTTATCCCCCCATTATCCACCCACCCACCACTAATATTTTTGAGCAATGTTAGTGCTCCTAATTATAAAAGTAATGCTTTTTAAACATTGAGTGTTTATTATCATTTCTAACATTTCACATAGCATTTTTGTTAACATTCTATAAATAAGTTGGTCAATAATGTCCCACTGTTTTCTTATAGTGAAAACAGACTGCATTTTTAAGTAATTATTTCAGAAAGGTTTTTCAGAGAAATCTGAAACCTTCTACTGAAACTATCGAGTTCTCTTGATTCATATTTGTCTGCCTCTTTAATATAAACAATCAATTAAAAGTGCCATTTGTGAAGATACCACACTCTTTCAAAGCCTCTGAAATATTTATTTGGAGAAAGGTTAAAGACAGTTTCAAGTAATTCTTAAACTCTTTACCCCCAGTGTGTATAGGTGAATTGTCCTGCTTGCTTATGCAACTATCTGGAATGGATCAATATACTGCAGGATTTTGGGGTTTTTTTAGCCACAGCCCTTCAATAAACATTTTCCTTATTTTTTACATTTTAAACAAGAGAAAGGACCTACTGATGTGCCTCAGTAGTTGAACATTGACCTATCAACCAGGAGCTTATGGTTCAATTCCCCAACAGAAAAATCCAGGATGGCCAGCTCAATCCCCAGTAGGGGGCATGTAGGAGGGAGCCAATCAATGATTCTCTCTCATCAATGATGTTTCTTTCTCTCCCTCTCCCTTCCTCTCTGAAATCCATAACTTTCTTTTTTAGAGAGAGAGGGGGAGAGAGAGAGAGAGAGAGAGAGAGAGAGAGAGAGAGAGAGAGAGTGAGTCAGTCCTGCATTCAGGAAACAGGTCTAGTTGAAGTGTTCCCTGAATTCACCCATCTCCCTGGGATGCCCCTGCCCAGAAGGCACTTACTGTCATCCAGGGGCATCTTCCTCTGAGAGGCGGCGGCACTGGGTTTCAGGCTGCGATAGTCCCGGGAGAGTGCAAAGATGAGGTTGGCATGGTTCATGGAGCGCATGGGCCACTGCTGCTCACTCTCCGAGAGGTTTGGGCACGGAAGCAGCAGGATGTTGGAGAGGGCTCGGCACACCAACACCTGAGCCTGGAAGAGACCCCAAAGGCACTCACGAACAACAGTCTTTAGCACCCACTCCACACACTCAGCTCAGGCTCCAGGCTCCTTTCTTATAGCCTGAACCTGGAGCTTTGGTCTGACTCTTCGGGGACCAGGGAGGAAAGGAAAGTGAAGCACAGCCGAGGGCCAGCCAGTCTCAATAATTACCGCCGGTCCTGGAAGCATCACGGACGGGAACGTCCCAGTCCCTGATCTCACCAGTCTCTCTGCTGCTGCCTCTGACGCCCGCGGAGGCGCGCCTCGGAGCAGGCTATTAAGAGGGTGCTGGCCCGAAGCAAGTCATTCACATCCAGGTGCTCTTACCTAACTGCTTTGACTCCCCTCTGATTCCAGCCCTGTTTTGTTTGTTTCTACACATCTAACCTGAGCTTCCTAGGACTTTAAGAGAATATATTTACCTGAGGCATCTCAACCCTCAGAAAACAAGCATGTAACAACAATAAACAGACGGTTTAAACCAAAAGAATGCAAAGGCTCTCACACCACCAGCCAGATCAATAGCTCTTAAAGCCTCATAAGCCTCATCTCAATAAATTAGTTAAAAAATAAAATCAAAAGCAGCACCAGCTCTGTTCCTAGGAGGAACTTTTCATGTCTGAATCCACACACTGCCTGACATGATGGAAGGACGTGGCAAGAGAGCACAGAGGCTGCGTCCGTGCCGCACGTGTAAGAAAGCCGTCAGGGGCTGCCTGTAAGCTCTGGGTGCAGGAAGAACGGCCTCACTCTTCTCCCAGCCTCCCTGAGGCTGAGCCGCACCACCGCGGTGACTCCAGGGTAACCCCGACCTCACCTTGTCGACAAGTCGCTCAGCAGAGGCATCAGTGATTCTGTTGAACACTTTCTGCACTGAAGGGATGCTGATCAGAAAGATGGGCCGCACAGTGGTGGCCAGGGAAACCAGCAGGTGGCACGCAGATAGCAGCAGCTTGTCTTGGACCTGAAGAGGGAAGAGGACATGGAGGCTTACTGTATCCCCTGAGATGGAATTAGAAGAGCCTTGATGATGCAGCCACAAGCTAAATACAATTCTAATTAGTTCTCTACCAAACTGTATCACACAGGCTCTATCACAAAGTTTCCGTATGCTGATGCCCATCAAAAAGGCATCTTCTTGCTCTGGCTGGTTTTGCTCAGTGGATAGAGCATTGGCCTGTGGATTAAAGGGTCCAGGTTCATTTCTTCAAGGGCATATGCCCAGGTTGCGGGCTCGATCCCCAGTAGGGTGCATGCAAGAGAAAGCTGATCAATGATTCTCTTTCATCATTGATGTTTCTATCTCTCTTTCCCTCTTCCTTCCTCTCTGAAAATCAATAAAAATATATTTTTTTAAAAAAAGAAATTACAATAACATTCTGTAAAATGACCTCTTTCCCATGACCACAGCTCCTCTTTCCCATGACCACAGCTCCTCTTTCCCATGACCACAGCTCCTCTTTCCAGCTAGGATCACCATCTCCAGTTCCTCCTATTCATAGTCACTGGCATCTTTGAACTCAGGGAACCATTTCTTCACTATCAGCTCTTAAATCTCAAGGCAAACACCTTAGCATTTCATTCAAACAACTGCAGTCTATTCAACTCACTCCTCTTGTTCCAATCAAGCCAAGATCTATCTCCGCCCCGACCTTTGCACTCCATCATCTATCATGCCAGGCTCTCCTACTTCCTTACTTCACATGCTAATAAAAAACATGATTCAAGTACCATAATGGTACTGTTCAAATTAACAAAAGGGAAAACTTTTTGTAGACAAAAAGACCGAATGTTGATAAAACTAGGGTGAAAAAGAGCACAAAAAAAAGTCAAGGGCCCATAGAATGTTTAGGAAAGAAATCCTATATAAAGATAATATGCAAATTGACCCTAACAGCAGAATGACCAGTCACTATGATTTTTGCACTGCCCACACCAGATGCTCAGCTGGCTCATGGCTGGCCAGTGCAGCAGCGGTGGCAGGAATCTCTCCCGCCTTCACAGTGCTAAGGATGTCTGACTAACAACTTAGGCAGGCTTAGGCCCGGGACTAAGCGTTAGTTGGACATCCTCCGAGCACCCCGAACTGCCAGAGAGATGTCTGACTGCCAGCTTAGGCCTGATCCCCTGGGAAGCGGGCCTAACCTGGCAGGTGGATATCCCCCGAGGGATCCCACACTGTATCCCCTGAGATTGAATTAGAAAGGGGCTGAGGGACCCTCCTGAGTGCAAGAATTTTCGTGCACTGGGCTTCTAGTATTAATACAATTTCCTAGAAGCACAAAACCTTTAACACTATAATCCCACTTATTCTAAGGAAATTACCTTAAAAAAAGTTAGTCATAAATACACACTTTTCAGAAGTATCTGTAATGGCTTTTTTCAAATGGCAGCTATCAGTTGGAGCTGATTTGGCTCAGTGGATAGTGTCAGCCTGCAGATGGAAGAGCCCTAGGTTCTATTCTGGTCAAGGGCACATGCCAGGGTTACAGGCTCGATCCCCAATAGGGGGCATGCAGGAGGCAGCCAATCAATGATTCTCTTTCATCATTGATATTTCTCTCTCTAGCTCTCTCTTCTCTCTCCCTTCCTCTCTGAAATCAATAAAACTATAAATTTTTTTTTTAAATAAATAAAATTTTAAAAAAGGCAGCAATGGCTAAATTATGTATGGAGTATTATTTACAAATTATAATTATAAACACAATAGAAATTTATGGAAAATAATACATTATCCTATTAATAGTGGTACAAAATGCTATGTATGACTAAAACTATTTGAGAAAAAAAAAAAAAAGGCATGTATACACTCAATAATACAACCTGGTCTTGCTGGAGGACAACTTAATAGAACCTATCAAAGTTTACATGGATATAACCTTCAACCCAGCAATTCCACTTACAGAAATCATCCTACAAGGATAAAATATCCATCAATAAGGAAATTATAATATATCCCCACTACAAAACACGGGCAGTTTGAAAAGCTGAAGCTGCTTATACATGTAAAAGTCTCTGAAGCATACCTTTAAGCAAAAGCAGCTGTATCTGCAGCTAAATACAGACTTTCACTTGTGAATGTAAAAAAAAACATGTCTGAAGGATACAGAACCATGGACAGTGCTTACTGGGGAAAGGGAAATGTTTTGGAGGAAGAGATTAAACAGTACCATCACGTTTAAGTCTCTAGCTCTGAATCATATTTTACTTTTTCACAATAAGCATATGTTCATGTGGGACTTAGAGAACTAAAAATATAAAGTTATATTTGCATTAAGTGGTTTACAACTGAAAGGAACATGAAATGGCATATAGTTATATTTCAGTGGTAAGAATGACAAGTCTACTACTATGTAGTATTTTGATAGGATAATAAATGGTACATGGACAAGACAGACTCAGGTAGGTAACAGGTGTAGCCTTTGCCTTTTCCAGACCTTGGTGCTGATTAGAGGTGTGACTGCATCCATGGTAGTGGAGATGAGCGTGACAAACTGCTGGGTGTTCTGCCGATGGGCTTCACTGCAATACTGTGCTAGCCAGTGGGAGTACGCCTGCAGGGCGGCCAGGGACTGGGCATGCCTGCAAAAAGGAGAGAAGATGCGATTTTACATGTTAAAGTCAAATGTATTAGCATTAAGTCTTTTCATAGGAAGTAAAAACTCTATCCACTGTATTTATTATTCCAGGATCTAACGGCATGGAATCAATTACTTGCTGATATCAAACCTAAAAATTAAAACTCATCACCTAAATAGTGCCATCAATGCCCAGAATACAAAAGGCAGTAAGTGAATGCCTATCAGATCTTATTTAATCTTTCTGTGACACATGTGAGCAATCCTGAGGGAATCCTATATAACAAAAGGCTAATATGCAAATAGAACAAACGACGAAACAACCGAACAACCAATTGCTATGATATGGATTAACCACCAAGGGGTGCATGGAAAACATGGTGGACATCAGCAGCAGGCAGCAGAGCGTAGAAGATGGTGGGCGTCGGCCGGAGCAGGATGGTGGAGCAGGTGAGCGGGGGCGCCAGACCAAGGTGGGGCATTGGTTGCTATCATTGGGGTGAGCCTCTAGTGGTTACAGAAGATTCTTTGCTCCAGTGTGCTGTGGTCCTGTCCAGTACTAGCCCTGCTTGTATCTGCTGCTGGCACCATCAGTGGGTGTGAGCAGCAGCTGCCAGCTCCAATCACACCTGAGGGCTTCTCCACCTCCCCCTACTCCTAAGGGGCAATCGGGATAGCAGCAGCCACTCGCACCCGCTGCTGGCACTGGCCCCAATCTCTTCGTGCAGTCAACGGGTGCAAACAGAGCCCGTACAGTCAGTGCATGGGAGCAGCAGAGGAAATTGGGCTGCTGGCAGACAGGGAACCAGGGGCTGCTGGGGGAAGGGTTGAGTGGAGGCACGGAGGATGGGCCAAGACCTGCCCCTGTGCTCACCACAGCCTCAGAGCCCACAGTTTCTTTCCAGGTTCACAAATTTGTGCACTGGGCCCCTAGTGAAAATAAAAAAACAGAACCAAAGAACTAGAGTGATAATGTGCTGAGACTCTGGGAACTAATAAAAAATGTAACATCCATAGCTACAGACCAGGGTGCAGACAACTACTGTATATTTAGAGCTTTGTAATGAAGCTTGCCCTAAGATTCACCATCAGACCCTATGCTTTCTCTGGCTAGGTACTACTCTAATTCTGGTTTTTCTAATTCTATCTTTCTTTTCTTGTTCATTAGCTGGCATTCTTCTGTAAAAAAAGAGTTTTCCCTCCCCATATTTATTTATTTATTTTAAATATATTTTTACTGATTTCAGAGAGGAAGGAAGAGGGAGAGAGATATATGAAACATCCATGATGAGAGAGAATCATTGATCAGATGCCTCCTACAAGTCCCTCACTGGAGATCGAGCCCACAACCCAGGCATGTGGGCCAGAATCAAACCTGGGACCTTTCAGTTCAAGGGCTGATGCTCTATTCACTGAGCCAAACCAGCTAGGGCCCCATCTTTTTTTAAATCACTATAGATGCATGGATTCTTATATTCAAGGTTATGATCTATTATCATCTTATTCTTTCTTGATGATCAAATTATCAAGTCCGGCTGGGGAAAATCTTTTTAGCTAGTCTGTGCTCCAGTCTAGAACAAGCCTCAGGGCAGTGTGATCTCTGGGATATGGCCCATCTCTTGTCCCCATTCCTCTATCCCAGTGATTTTCAACCAATATGCCAAAATAATTTCTAAAACATGCAACACCTGACTATTTTAGTCAAGGGCACTGACCTTTCCCTTAGATGGTCAAATAAAAAAAATGATAACAACCATTTGGGGTAAATCAAAATTATAGTTGTTTTTTTGTCAGATCGGCAAAATTTTAGTAATTTTAGTAATGTTTATATGTGCCATGAGATGAAAAAGTTTGAAATCATTGCTCTATCACTTCTATGTGCCACATTCCTCATGGCTTCCCACCATCTATAAAGTTTCTCATAGTCTGGTCCATGTTGTCCTGTTTCAAAATCACCGAAATTCTTGTGTAACATGCAGATACCCAAGCCTATGCCGCCTTCCGCCATCAGTCTCTGAAGGAACGCGTTCCCCAAGGAACTCTTCCGTACACTGGTTTCAGCTACTGTCCACAGGAGATTAATGGCATTCAAGGTGTGTCCACCTTAGTCCCAACAGAGCTGTCAGCCTCATCTCCCACCACACAAGCTGCTCACCACCTCCAGACTGTGTGACTCCCCAACACTGCGTTGGCTTGTGCTGTTCTCTCCTCCTGACATGCATATTCCTAGACTCCATCCCAGCTCTCACCTGCCTGATGACGTCCTCTCATTCCAGCCACGCGTGCCCCGGTGTATACAATCAAACCACCTGTCCCTCTCCTAGGTTTGGAAGTGGGAGTTTCACTCCTCTTCATGGCAGCCACTACTGTTTCTTTTTATCTAAAAATGATTTGGGGCTGGAGGACATTTCCTGGGAATATAAACATCTAACTCTGTACTTACACATCAATGAGATCAGGTTTCAATACCGATGGCACAGCAGTTTCAATGTTGTACAGTTTTATCTGAGATCCATACAGAGTGACTTTGACCAACCTGTTGGCAAAGAAGCAAGTAAGAAAAAATTCAGCTATGAACTTAAAAAACACAGATAGACAGATACCAACAAAGGTCTAAGAATAGAGACCAGACCTTCAATCTTATCCCAAAGATATAATCTGAGATGTGCATATTTATATACAAAGATACTAACTAAAACATTACATATAGTATCAAAAAATTCTGAAAATAATATAGATATCCAACACAGAGAATATACTCTCACATACTATATACAATAAAAATGGTTACAATGGAAATCTTTGTTATGTATATTTTACAAAAAAAAAAAATTTTTTTTTTAATGTAAATGTTTGCCGTAGCTGGTCTGGCTCAGTGAATAGAGCGTTGGCCTGTGGACTGAAGGGTCCTGGGTTCGATACCAGTTAGGGGCACATGCCTGAGTTGAGGGCTCAATCCTCAGTGGGAGCATGCAGGAGGCAGCAAATCAATGATTCTCTCTCATCTTTGATGTTTCTCTCACTCTCCTTTCCTCTCTGAAATCAATAAAAATAATACATTTTTAAAAAGTGTTTCAGGTGGATAGATATATGATAAAGAAAATATAGCATTGTTTAAATGGTGAGTATATGGATCTTCCCTGTATAACTACTCAATGTTTATGAATATGTGAAAATATTCATGATAAAATTCTGGGATGGGGGACAAGAGTTTCTAGAACTACGCTGAGGTATTTTTAACTTCAATCACAGTTATTTCAGGAGCAAACTGCTGAACCCACTGCTGCCCAAGGGCTCACTGCATAAAATGAGCATGAACTACAGTAACTAACAGCCAGCTCACTGGGAAGCAGAAATGCCTCTGTCATTAGAGACAGACTTTCCTTTGAGTCGAGGGGAAAACTGGAGACCTGGCTGAGTTCCCTCTGCGCCTGTTGTCAGCAAACTGAGCTGGATGCCAGGGAGGACAGCATGTGCTCTTCTTCCTCAATCCAGTGGTGCAGGGGTTCCCCAACTTCACTGACACAAGGAGCAACTGGGAACTTGTTACACATGCCAGCTCCCTGGTGCAACCCCACAGACCAACTATGAAGTTGTAGGAGGGTCTGGAAACACCGAGGCTCTCGTGCATGTGGACCATACTCTGAAAAATGCTCCTCTCGGATACAGAGAAAAAAACAGGACTTTATTAGAAAGCCACAAGCTTGAGCCACAAATTATGCAGGGCTGGGGAGTAGACAGAAAGGGGCACTGCCAGTCGGTCAAGAAAATGAGTGAAAGAGCCGAGGGCTCCCAATCTGGTCCTGGGAGGGGTGCAGGTGATGACTGGAAATCAGAGGGACACCTCCCCGAAGCAATGCACCAGCGTGGACTGGTATCTAATGCTTTCTCTCCGTGCCGTACACTCACACAGCACGTGCACAGTTCACTGGCATTACGTATATTCACACTGGGCAGCCACCGCCACTGTCTATCTCCAGAACCTTTTCTTCATCTTTTCAAACTAAAATTTGTACCCATTAAATAACTTTCCATACCCCGTCCCTAGCCCCTGGCAACCATCTTCCTTTTTTTTTTTTTTTGGGTCTCTATAATAAATTTTACTCCTCTACATGCTTCATATAAGTAAAATCATACGGTATTGGGCTTTGCACCCTGTTTTTACATTACATAGCATTCTTGAATGATGTTCTTCACTAAAAATTGACTTCTACATGTGTCTGTCTGGCAGTGTTTAAAAAAAAATTTGTTATTGATTTTGAGAGAGAGAAAGGAAGAGGGAGAGAGAGAAACATCGATTAGTTGCCTCCTGCGCACACCCCGTCTGGGGACAGGGCCTACACGTGGGAACAAAACCTGCCACCTCTGGTGTATGGGACGGTGCTCCAACCAAGCACACTGGCCAGGGCTGTGTAGCAATTTTATTACTAAGTTTGTTTATGTAACCTCTAAGGTAAAACACTGCTAATCACACTGGCTATTGAGATCATAACAAGGAGCCTTCCTCACACTTTATTTTAAATTGAAGACAAGATAACTAAGTATTAGGTCTAGTAATAATTAATGTCGTTTTCTAATACTTTTTTTTAAATCGAATTTATTTAAACAACACAACAAAATTTAATCAACAATATAGTTGCCGTTGTTTTCTACTACTTGTGCCCAACACTCAGGAAGCATTTTAATCCCTCTGTTGTAAAATTCTTGTGATTTTGATGCAAAAAATTCGGTCAATGCATTTTTGAGGCATTCTTCATTATTAAATTTTTTTCCAAGAAGAAAGTTTTGCAAAGAACGAAACAAATGGTAATCGGAAGGGGCAATATCAGGAGAATATGCAGGTTGAGGGAGAACTTCCCATTCCAACTGGCGCAGTTTTTCAGCAGTGATTCTTGCAGTATGCGGTTGTGCGTTATCGTGGTGAAGAATTACGCCCTTCCGATTAATCAGTGCGGGTTCTTTTTCTCTTAAAGCTTGGGCTAACCTTTCCAATTGGGCACTATACACTGCACTTGTAATGGTTTGGTTAGATGGTAAAAGTTCATAATGAAGAATTCCTTTAAAATTCCACCAAACACACAACATCACTTTTTTCGCATGCAAGTCAGGTTTTGGCGTGGGCTGCGGAGCCTCATTTTTGTCCAACCATTGAGGCCGCCTTTTCAAATTAACATACAGCACCCATTTTTCATCTCCGGTAACAATTTGCTCTAAAAACGGCAAACGGTTTGGACGAGAGAGGAGCGAACTGCAAATTGTGACTCTTTGATTACGGTTGTTGGTGGTCAACCCATGAGGAACCCATTTTCCAAACTTTTGGACTTTGCCAAGTGCACGCAATTGATTGGAAATTGTTTTTTGTGAACAATTTAAAGTTGTCGCAAGCTCTTGTTGGGTAATTTGAGGATTTTGCACCAAAAGAGCTTGAAGAGCTTCTTGATCAAAATTGGACACACGGCCTCGACCACTCTTGTCATCTAACGAAAAATTTCCCTTGCGAAATTTCTCAAACCAACGCTGGCATTTTCTGGCGCTAACTGCATCTTGACCAAGAGCACTACAGATGTTTTTTGCAGCCTCACTTGCTTTTCTTCCTAATTGGAACTCGTAAAGCATGCAGTGCCGAATATGCTCTTCACCTGCCATCTTCTTAGCCCTAGTTTTGCAACAAAAACCAAACCAAACACAAACTTTTTCAAGCAAAACTTGTTAATTGCACTTCACACGTTCTGTAGATACCATGTGTTTGAAGGTTATGTCAATACAAGTCAACGCCAAGCAAGATTTTAAACGAATGTTAAAAACGACATTAATTATTACTAGACCCGATATTTTAGTACTGAGCTTACAAACCTAATTGGTTAGAAAGATATATGTGTAAGGACCTATCAAATAACGATTCAGGCTCTATGATCAATCATCTCACTATGAAGTTGAGGTGACTAATATATATTTCTTGAGTATAAATTTTAAAACTATAGTGAATAAACCTAAAGATACTGTCCACTCCATTTTACACACAAGGAACTGAAGTTCCGAGAGGACCAGTAATCGCTCCACATTCTCCTTACACATGTGAGCGTGACTGACCCAGCACCGGAGCAGAAGCTGGTACAACTGAGCTCGGGAGAGGGAATGTCTCCATGATGTCGCTGCCAGCCTACCTCTCCACGACCGTGAGGGCATCGCTGAAGCGCGCAGCAAACATGTCTCCAGTGAAGTACTCGGCTAGGCGGCCCACAGCCTGCAGCAGGGAGCTCAGGTCTCTGAGGGAGCAGTGCAGGCGCCGGCAGTCGTTCTCCGCTGTGATGTTCAGCCTGTGTCCTGGGACAGAGCACCACATACAGGTTTTCAGGAAGAACGTGCTATGGTCATTACGACAGACACCCGCTCACCCAGGCAATCTACATGTACTAAAACAACCCTTGACACACAGGCTGCTTCCTGGGACTGAGCACGGAAGCCAGACCCACATGCACTCCCGAGGCAGAGAAAGGGACAGACAGCAGAGGAAGACAGAAGGACAGCCGGGGAGGGAGGGCAGCAAAGTGCACCAAGCACCTCTCTGATTCCTCCTGACCATGTGAAGGATGGATGCCACCAACTTTACACACAAGGAAACATCCTCAGGGAGGTCTGCTAACTTGCCCAACCTGAATCACATTTCCAGGGCAGAGCGGGTGTCCTAAGCTCAGTCTAAGCAACTGCAAATCTGCTTGCCTTTGCACATGGCCCTGTCAGAGACCACGTCTCTGAGGCTGAGAGGGAGGTTGGTCCCTGCTCGGACAGCGTGTACTCAGCACTGCACCCAGGCGGTTGTAGAAATGTAGCACGGAATACGGAGCATGAGCTGGGTTCAGAGGACGGATTCCCTGCCACTCGCTGGCTCTGTGCCTCAGTGAGCCCTTCTGAGTTCCAGTGTACTCAGCTTTAAAATGGAAAAAATGCTACTATCTAATTGACTATAATAAGGGCTAAGTTAGAATGCATTAAATAAACACTGTAGACTATAACCATTATTCAATGTTTGTAATACTTATGAAAAACCAAGAGCTAGTGATTTTCTAAGGCCTGAAACTTATTCTTCAACATAATTTCTTCAAACTAAGCAAGGAGGATTTAAGATAGAGGACAAAAACATCCTCAGTTCAGCAACTTCCTTGTTCCTCAGGCCTCCTCTACTCACAAACATCCACAAAAACAGTATAACTGTCAAGCAGAGGGCTCTCAGTCTGATTAAATCCTCCCCCACACCCCCAGAACGAGGAGGGAGGGAGGGAGGGAGGGAGGGAGGGAGGGAGGGAGGGAGGGAGGGAGGGCCAGAACAGTGAGAGCCTGCCCACAGCCACCTGCAACCTACACACTTCTCAAGCTCCCTCCATTGCCACTCAGGTTTTTACTCGGGTAGGGGGCAAGAGCCTCAACATGGCATCAACCCTCCTCCCGCAGCACCCCACAAATGTCTTCCGATCTAAGCACACAGCTCCCTGAGGCAAGGCATCAACTCCCTCAGGAGACCTTCCTTCCCTTCTCCAGAGAATCAGCTTCCCTTCAGTTTGACTATATGCTGGGCAGTGAGAAAACCTAAAGTCATTTTCAAGTTCCCCTATTTCTTATTTTCAGTCGGGTCAAGTTTCTAAATTTTCTAAATCTGTTTTCTAGCTAATGAAAACAAAATAGGATTCTACCATGTCTCCAATCTACCTACTCCAGGACTGCTGTGAGGATCAAATGAGATGAGGTATGTGAAAATGCTTCAGAGACATTTGGTTAAAGTATAAAATGTTTCCACCTGGCTATAAAGCAAGTCATGTTCCTGGGCTGAAGAAGCTCCAAGGAGGCTAGTCGCTAGAGAGAGGAAGCCGGGCATTGCTATGTGATGCATTTTGCCCATGGGGTCTCACCAGTGTTGGCTGTAATTTGGTGGGCTGTCACTCGGGTGGTGACGGGGCCTGTCTTCCACTTGGGGGAAGCCAAGTGTTGGTTTGTCGGCACCAGATCCACAGTGCCGTTTCTTTGTAAATGGCCAGTGTGCATCCCCGCAGCTCCTACATTGAGAGTCTTCCCCCTGGTGGTCAGTGTGTGTCATAACGACCAATCTGGTGGTCGGAGGAACACTTAGCATATTAGCCTTTTATATAGAGATAGAAGTTTGAACCATATGAAATGGCTGACATTTGACCACTTCTGACCTAACAAAACTGCAATTCTATATAATTCAACTTAACACATATGTGCCATCTAAGGTACATATTAATAAAAACTGCAGCTGCTGTTTCCTACTGTGCCCACATGGCAGACAAACACACCAGCAGTAAGCACCTCTAATCCAAGTCCCCACTCTCCCCCAACCTAGAAAGCACACACCACCACTGCCACCACATCACGAAAAGTTGCCACCTCAACCTGAGGAGGCAGGCCAGGGTTCCCACTGGGAAAAGCTATTCAGATCCACCCAGTTTCTTCTGTTTGGCTAGGCTGGATTTCTCCCCAATATCGCAGACAGCTGCAAAGTGGGACCTTTAGGAGAGAACAGGCTTTTGAGAGAAAACATCACAGCTACACTGAAGTCTTGTCTTCCACAAACCAAGGCCCCCTGAAGCTGTCCAGATACACTGTAAATCATATCCAAAGAACAGCTCCCTATCAAATCACCGGCCTGGATAGAAACCTAGTAATCTCATGTGTAAGTCAGTCCTGTTTGAGGGGGCTAGGGAGGTGGAGGTGTGAAAATTAGCATTTGCAGTATTCTGTCCCAAGAGAACAAACGAGTCATAAATGAACCCCAGGGGAACAAAGAATAGAAGTCCAAAAATCTTATGTAGTATTCTATATAAGCAATTTCTTATATAGAATAGTATATAAGCAATGAAGCAATCTCTTAGGCAGGAAAGTCTGCATGGCTAAATAGAAAAGCTAACTGGGTTATTACTTAGAGCAGTAACACCACTCCAGTGAGGGAAGATGTCATGGAGCAGTGGATAGCCAGATACATTCAGAATAAATACTTCAAGGCCATGTAAGGACACAAATGCAATACGAGGGGCACACTCACAGTGAGAGGTTTCTCAAGCCACCAATGGTGGGAAAGACGGACAGCAAGGGGAGAGCACCTGAGGGGTGAGAGAGCACACAGTGACCCATCTGCTGTGGCCATACTCTCCATGAACTTTACTGAGGAAGTGGAAGGAGGAAGAAGTAGAGTAAGAATGAGACTCCCATCCACATAGGCTCCAGAGAAGACGCTAGAACTAAAGACTAGCTAGATAAATGGGAATGGAAAAGAAGGCCATGGAGAAAGGATACCATGGTTTCTGTTATGAGGCAAAAGGCTAACTAATACAGCATAGCATGAAGGTTATTTAAGGGTTGAATGGCCACAGGAAGCAGGGACAGAATGTACTCAGAGTCCCACTTTTTAATAGCCTTTGCACTGGAAACTTGGCTTTTGAGCCACTTAGAAATGAGGAAATGCTTCATCATGGATAAGAGAGCTCGATTTAAAACAAGAAAGAAGTATTTCTCTGGCCTGAGAGGTTTGCCATTGGATTACACACTGAAGATCAGACTAGGAATGAGATTTGTAAGTTATCTGGAAGAGCCAAGCGCACTGTGAAATTACCAGTAAATGGGCTTCAATGAGAGCAGGTATATGGTATTTTATGTGCGGAAAAATAAAATCAGATTATCTTTCTCAGAAGAGCAGCTTTAAGTTATCAGCCGTGTCTCAGAAAAAGGATTTAAAAGTCATTGAAGATTTCTACCTGAAGACAAATTCAGTATAAGGTAAAAAGTCAGCTATAATTCTAAAAGCGAAACGCAGAGAGCCTGTTTTTTTGTATGGTATTTTTTTTTTGAAGGGGGTGGGGAGATACATACTCCATTTTTTTATTTTAAAGATCAATAATAATGTCTTCAGGATATTGACTACATTCTAGGAAAGATAATCAGGGCACAGTTTTCCCAAGAGTGAATTCTGGAAAAAACTGTAGCTTCTGTACAGTCAAATGATTTTCATTAATATTGAGAGCATATTTTACAGGCATGTTTGCTTTTAAAAGTGGTCTTTTTTTAAAGTTCTGTATAAGCTGTCCTTATCCTATCAACAAAACCAGGGCCTAAACTTGGGACATGCCAAGTCCCATCAACCTCCTGGGGCCAGTGAATTATTTGGAAGCTAATCTAGTCATGGAAACAAGCCGTCACAGGCCACCAAAAAGGGCAGTCTCAGAAAGACACTCCCATGGAGGCTCTGCCATGAATAACAAGTTCACCCAGAAGCTGGGCTGCACTTCGGGCAGCTCTGTGCCAGGCTGAAGCAACAGTCACACGACAGAGGTGCTGCTGGCCAGGGCCAGACATGACTCCTCTAAGGAAAACACTGTCAAACGACTAAGCAGTTGGGGGGAGGGGCACAGGTGTGCTTACAAGCACAATATAACATTCAGCTGACATAATCAAGGTCAGATTTTAGTTAATTCAATTTTTAAAAAAATATACTTTATTAATTTTTTTACAGAGAGGAAGAGAAAGGGATAAAGAGTTAGAAACATCGATGAGAATCATCGATCAGCTGCCCCTTGCACATCCCCTACTGGGGATGTGCCTGCAACCAAGGTACATGCCCTTGACTGGAATTGAACCTGGGACCTTTCAGTCTGCAGGCGGATGCTCTATCCACTAAGCCAAACTGGCTTTGGCTAGTTAATTCAATTTTTTATCATTTCCCATTACAGCATCTTCAGACTAGCACTAACAAGCTATGTGGCTCTGGAAAATTAACTTATCTGAACATTGATTTCCTCCTTTGTAAAACAGGAGTAACTACCGTGTTTCCCCGAAAATAAAACATCCTCCAAAAATAAGACCTACTTACAGGTTTCCTTCTGAGTGAAATATAAGGCATTCCCCTGAAAATAAGGCCCCCCCCAGGCTCTGTCTCAGAATGAAAATTAATTTACCGTAAACTGGTCGCTAGGGCCACTCCGACTGGCATCTAGCAACCAGTGACGTTACGTGGAGTCCTGACGTCACTGCTGTGTGCAGGCGGAGCGGAGGTCATAGTCAACAGTGAGCGTGGGGCGGGAGAGAGGAGGAGACTTTCGCAGATGCATGTAGAAGAACAGGATTAGAGCTGACGGGACGCGGCAAAGATGGTGAGTGCTAGTCTGTCTATGGTGACACTACCTGATGCTCGCGGCCGCCCTCATGATGACTGAAGGTTCTCAGTCAGTGGCAGACCCTGCTCCAGCCCAGATCCAAGCCCCAGCAAGCCCAGTGACAGTCCCCAGGCAGGCCCCAGGGGGTAAATGTCTGATAAAGGGGTAAGGGAGGATGTCTGGTGAAGGTGTTCAATGGCACAGGGGTGGGGGGAGGGGGATCACTTAAAATGACATAGGAGGATCAGAGGGGGCAATCAAAATGACACAGGAGGATCAAAAGGGGTTACTAAAATGGTAATCCCCCCTCTGATTCTCCTGTGCCATTTTGATTCCCCCTCCTCCCCCCACCTTGATACCTTTTTTTTACCCCTAGAAATGAGCGCAAAAAGAAAAAGCTACGCTGTGGAGTACAAGAAAGGAATCGTGGAAGACTCTTGGGGCCAAAATCTTACTGCTTTCTGCAAAGAGAAGATGTTGAGTATCCGATTGGTCCGAAAATGGCGAGCAGAGTATGGTAACCTCATTGAACAAGTGGACAAGGGAAATGCTAAAAAGTGCAAGTATGGATCAGGTCGGCAACCATTATTTTCCGAGCTGGAGGACCTGATCTGTGAATGGGTTGTTGACAGGAGAGCAAAGGCTTTGGTTGTGAATAGGGCTCAGATTCAAGAATTTGCCCATGCAATGGCACCACAGTTTGACATAGCCCCCGAAGACTTCAAAGCATCACAACACTGGCTGGATAATTTCCTTCAGCGAAGTGAAATGTCTTAAAGAAGATCTACAACATTGTTTAGGTTGGAAGATACTCAAGTTATTAAGCAAGCACTTGCATTCAAGTCCTTTATTGATGATGCTGACTTCTCTAAATACAACCTTTCCAACATGATTGCTATGGATGAAACTGCAGTGTTTATGGGCCAATCATCTCAAACAACAATTGAACAGAGTGTGCCTCCTTAGTGTACATTCCCTCCACTGCTCACGAAAGTGCACGTGTTTCCTGTATTTTGGCAATTCGTCTGGATGGCACTAAAATCCCACCTTTAATCATTTCTAAGGGTAAGAAGGAAAAGATTGAACGTGTTTTGGGCGTTTTTATTCTTGAAACTGACAAAGCCTGGGCCACACAAGCAATTATAAGGAAGTGGGTCGATTTAATGCTGCCGCTTGTTATATGAGGGAGCCAAAGAGGTCTGCTAGTACTCACCCGCGCTAAAGACATGAAGACATTTCTTCACGAAAGAAAAATACATCAGATAATGATTCCCGCAGGAATGATGGCCTATCCCCCGACTCTTGATATTGCAATAAACAAGCCATTCAAAGACAATTTGCGCATGGAAATTAATGACTACATTGAAAAATAGAATGGAGAGAAATCAGCGTGGAAACTTTGTGAAACATAAACTGCAAGAAGTTGTGACTTGGGTGAAGAATTCATGGGAGAAGATCACTGACAGTTGCATTGCAAATGCACTGCAAGCAGGCTACCTTGACAAGAAGTACTCATTTAAAGACAGTGCTATTGCTAAACATGAAAGATTTGGTCCACTGATTCTGAAAGAAATGGAGTCACAAGAAATTCGCCAGGAAATTCAGGAATTGGATTGTTATGATGATGTTCCAGAAGATGATGACATGATTGTCATTGAATAAATGAGTAAATTCTTGATACTATAGGATTCACAGTTTGTCTGGTTTGTGTTGACAACTACCGTACTACCATACCGTATATAGTAATAAATTTCCTTTATTTTCATTTAACAATAAATGTGTACCGTATTCTTCTTCATGGAAAAATAAGACATCCCCTGAAAATAAGACCTACCGCATCTTTGGGAGCAAAAATTAATATAAGACACTGTCTTATTTTCGGGGAAACAGGGTAGTATTAGTTCTTACACCTTATAGGGCATGAGAGAATTATCTATACTAATAAAAGCCTAGGTGGCCCTCGCACGACGCCCCCAGGTCATCACAAGATAGCCGCCCCTGCATCGTTACATGATGGCCGCCACAAGATGGCCAGCAGAGCAGAGCAATTGGGGGCAACCAGACTGGCTGGAGAGGACAGTTGGGGATGAGATCAGGCCAGCAGGGGAGGGCAGTAGGGGATGAGATCAGGCCAGCAGGGGAGTAGTTAGGAGACGATCAGTCTGGCAGGCAGAATCAGTTAGGGGCAATCAGGCAAGCAGGCAGGCAAGTGGTTACGAGCCAGCAGTCCCAGATTGTGAGAGGGATGTCCCTGAAGGATCAGACCAAAACCGGCAGTCGGACATCCCCCAAAGGGTCCCAGATTCAACCCGGGCTGAAGGACACCCCTCCACCCCTGTGCACAAATTTCGTGCACTGGGCCTCTAGTGTAAGACTAGTGATCCAGTGCATAAATTCATGCATATTAAAAGGAAATGAATTAGAAGATATATTTTAATATCATTACTCGCCGTTTCTCTATAGTACAAATGTCAGAGATGAAAGAAAATTAATAAAATGTATATGAAAATAATATATAAATTGGTTAATAAATAAATAACATGATAAAACAAAGACATGATATAAAAACAAAATCATGATATAAAAACATTGATAAAACCAATGACTGACAAGTTGATTAAACTTATTCTAATACCTCCCTGTATACCACATTAAGAGTAAAAACACTTTGAGTGCTTGACTAATTTACCTTGTGATGAAGTATTTATAACTAACTTTAACGTCACATGCTTTTCAAACTCAAGAGAAAGCAACATATAACTGACTATGTTCAAAAAAGGGTTTGAACATAAGTAAAATATTCCTACTCTGTTTAGAATTTGTCCCTGTGATTTATTAATAGTCATAGCAAATGCTGGCATCCTGGAAAACTGTCTTCGAATTAATTTAAATGGGAGGCCAGTGTCAGATGCAATCAATTCTTGGAATCAGAACAACCTCTCCTTCTGCAGATCCTGTTAATATTTCTGCTTCTATTATGTTAGGTCGCAATCTTTTGATAATAAATCGAGCACCATTACAAAGACCCCATTTCTATTAAGATTTCTCAGTGGCATGATGATTACACCTACTTTCAATTTTAATTTATGACATGTATTCCTGAAGGAGTAATACTATTAAGAAATTCAGCGAAGCTTTATATGTATCACATATGAGCAAGTCAACGTTTATTTTTCAACTGCCAGTGTGCGTCATATATACCAGCCAGTAGGTCAGTCAGACAGTCGGATGGACAGTCAGTCACTTAGCCTTTTATCCTATACTAGAAGCACGGTGCACGGAATTCATGCACAATTGGGGTCCCTAGGCCTGGCCATCAATCAGGGCTATCAGGCCATCTCACCCAGTCCCGATCCGGGCCAGGCCAGCCAGGGCCCTGCAGGACAGGGTCTGCCAGACAGGGGGAGGGACAGCAGGAGGTTTGCTGGCTGGGAGGTGGCATGGGGAGAGGTTGGCTGGCTGTGTGAGGTTGGCTGTGGGAGTGCACTGACCACCAAGGGGCAGCTCCTGCATTGAGCATCTGCCCCTCTGGTGATCAGTGCATGTCATAGCAACTGATCGACTGGTCATTCCAGTCGTAAGTCATTCTGGTCTTTCAGTTGTAAAGGTCACTTAGGCTTTTATATATCCCAATAATAATCTTATATAATAAAGAGCTAATATGCTAATTAGACCAAACAGCAGAATGACCAGTCACTATGACAAACTCTGACCACCAGGGGGCAGACACTCAATGCAGAAGTTTCCCTGTGGTCAGTGCGCTCCCACAGGGGGAGGGCCCTTAGCACAGTGGCAGTGTTAAGAGCCTCCTGTCTCTACAGCAGTCAGCCAGCCCTCAAGGGGTCCCGGACTGTGAGAAGGCAGGGCTGAGGGACCTCCCCGGCCCCCCAGAAGTGCACAACTGTCATGCACTGGGTCTCTAGTATATATAGATAACATAAGCAAAATATAGTGCCAGGTACATAATGCGTGATCTACAAATAAAGGTTACTATTAATACTATTAATAGAATAACCAAAGAAAAAAACAAAAACGCTATCCCTAAATCCCAACTAGGTGAAACCTGTAAATGGCAGGCCAGGGGCGCCCAGGGTCACTTACAACAGGAAAGTTAGCATTTACTAGCATCAGCATGTTCCACCATAGTTTGCCTACTTTGAGTTGCTTCTATGTGCTACTGGATTCTAAATACCAGAGAAGAAAGAGTACGTCACAGCAAAGTCCAGAGTTGTTTTTGCCTAGCATACTTGCTGGTTTAAAAGACATAAAGACATTCTGTTTGCTAGGGTTTTCAAAAAGCTCTACCCTTTTTCTCCAAATTATCTCCCCTCTCACTGAAACACCTCTCTGGAATATACTGTCAGAGCCTGATCCTTTAATTCCCACACGCTTCCCCATCATGATTTCTTTCTATTTGCAAGTTGGGTAGACAACACTGCAGGGAAGTAGCAGTAGAGAGAAAAATCATGTTCTGATATCAAAGAAGGCAATAATTCAGAATTAGTCCATTTTTTAAATGTGGGTTAAATTAGAAAATAAAACCAGTTTACCTGACCCTGAAGTAACTATAAACTGCTGTAACCCCAGATAAACGTCTAAATTGTCCTGAAGAACTGGGAACTGAAAACAAAGAAACAACGATTAAAAAACAAAATATAAATGTTACCATTAAAACAGGCCATGTACCTCTGCGAGGGAGGGAAGTGCAGTGGGATAAAAACTCTTCTCTGGAAACCTTACGTGCCCTAAGAGGAGGTAGCTCCCGCACCCCTAACCATTTCTGTAACTGAAACCACCATCATTTTAAAACAAAGCAGTGGATGCTGGGTATGATTATGATGTTCCTAAAGGAGGACTTCAAGCCCCAAATGATCTGATCCTTTTACACAGGCCCCTCTCCCTTCAAATCCAAGGTAAACCTACCCTTGAGAGAAATATGGATATGCCTTCATTCAACTGCATGGCAAAGTAAAGCCAGGCCAAGTTATTTGGAAGTCATTTTCCCTTACTCATTTAGCAGACAGGACCTTCATAAACAGCTGTATCTTTTCTTTCTAAACTGCTATTCGCCACTAAGATAAAGATAAAAACTTTAATGTGGCAAATCCCAAGAATGGCAGGTGACAAAATGGCAATCTCCACAGAAAAACCCAAGATACAATGCAAAGCTGACCCCAATAAATTATCTTGCCTTTGAAGGAGAGAGGCTTAATGAATTATCTTCAGAAAACAGGTATCATTTTAATCAGTGAAATCAGTCCTATGACTGAAGATTCTAGCACATAAATATAGGCAGGAGTGCCAGCAATTTGCCAAGAGTGAGCTTTACAATAGCTGGCTTTTCAGCGATGTAAGTCATATAAATAAACCTTCTATTCAGCCTGGCCAATTTCAAGCTACTGTTGAAGGCATTAGTAAAGTTCATATTATAGCAAGCATTTAGGAAGGAAAAACAGGGCTTCCCAAAGTTGATCTAATATGTTTGGGGGAAATATTAACATTTGATCAAATTGAGGATTGGGTATAGTAACTATTACTTTCTGGTTATAATATACACTGAGTGGCCATATTATTATGATCTCTGAACGCATAATAATCTGGCCACTCAGTGTATATCCTATATAATAAAAGGCTAATATGCAAATTGTCCCCTCGACCATAAGTTCAACCAGCAGGCAGGCCGGCCAACCGCCCATGTCCCCTCCCCCTGGCCAGGCTGACCGGATGGCCAGACCCCACCCATGCATGAATTCATGCACCAGGATTCACACATTCTCACATACACACACACGCATAAACTCTGAGTGGCCAGATTATTATGTGTTCAGAGGTCATAATAATCTGGCCATCAGTGAATATTTTTTATAATATTGGAGAGCAAAAAAGCTTTACTGCTCATCCTATATGTGCAGGGAAATCATTGGGCTCTTTATCCCCATCCAAACATGAGTTACCAGTGTCGAGAAGGCGTGTGTGGGAAGGAGCTCCATCACTTTGGCCACTACCTCCAAGCTCTGGCGTAAGTACCGCTGCCACTCTGTCTGCTGCTGCAGGGGAAACACAGAGGGGTGAGCTCTCCTCCAGGCAGGGTCCTGTCATTTTCCCTGCCAAGCGATCCTCAGCCTCGCTCTTAGACATACCATCTTGAAGAAACGGCAAATGTTGGAACCAGGTTATTTGGAACTTTAAAAAGGCCAAGCTAAAAGATATTTTTTAACCCAAAAGTATCATTAAAAGCTTTTTCCTAAAAAAACAGATGATCCCAATGGACACAGATACTAGGGGGTAAGGGTATGAACAAGGAGGTGGGGGGGAGGGGCACCTAATGGGAGGATAAGGACACATATGTAATAACTTAATCAATAAAGAATATTAAAAGAGAGAGAGAGAGAGAGAGAGAGAGAGAGAGAGAGAGAGAGAGAGAGATGACCTGAAAATGAACTACTTTTCCCCCTACAGTCATAGGAACAGAGATAGAAAAGCCACTAGTGAAAAAAATGCTCATGTCCCCTTTCGCCCATCCCAGCTATAGGAACTGGTCACTTATTCCTTCAGAGACAGGCCAGTACTGGGTTCTGTAAGTATCACTAAGTCAGTGCCACTGAAGTATGGTCTACAGACAAGCAGCATCGGATCTCCTGGGGGTTTGTTAGATGTGCAATGCTGTGAGCCCCACCCCAAGCCTCCTGAGTCAAATCTGTTTAACATCTATGCCAGTGGCTCTTATCCATGCTAGAATACGAGAAAGCATTGGCCTAAGTCATACAGTTAACAAGAAGTGAAGCCAAGTTTACCAAGCACCTAGCATGCACCAGGCATGTAGCCAGTCCTTCTGCATGTGTTACCCTCACACAACTGTCAACACAGACATACCTCCCCCTTTTGGGAGATGAGAAATTTAAGGTTCAGAGAAATTCAATGCCCTGGCTTCTGTCTCCTTCATGGATTCAAATCCAGGCCATCTGATTCCCAATGCAGAATACAGAGCTCTTTCAACCCAAACCTTGCTACGCTCATGGTCTTGATTATGCCCCAGTCATTGCTATTTTGAAGCTATAGCAGTGACTTGACAATTTTGAAGTGCATGATGGTTATGGAAAAAAAGATACTAGAGCTGTGCCCTCAAAGACATTTTCCTTATCAATGTGGGACTCCAGCATCAATAAATTCAAAACCGATTTTAAGAAATATCAGTTTGTGCCAAAACCGATTTGGCTCAGTGGATAGAGCGTCGGCCTGCGGACTGAAAGGTTCCGGGTTGATTCCGGTCAAGGGCATGTACCTTGGTTGCAGGCACATCCCCAGTAGGGGTTGTGCAAGAGGCAGCTGACTGATGTTTCTCTCTCATTGATGTTTCTAACTCTCTATTCCTCTCTCTTCCTCTCTGTAAAAAAAAATAAATAAAATATATTAAAAAAAAATATCAGTTTACAAAATATACTCAACAGAAATTTCCTTTCATTCTAGCCTTTTCGTTTAAGTATCTCTTTCACTATTTCTACCAGCATCCAACTGCTTTTATCTGTTGCCCAGAGTGGGGGGTGGAAGTGTAGAATAGGAGGGATACCGAAGTCTTACACTTTTCACTGAGCAGATGTACTTAGTACATCTCTAGCCCACATAGGTAAAAATGCCTGTAAAACTTTTTTTACAGTTAATGAACCCAAAGAGAAGGGCAGGATATAAATTTCATATGAACATCTCAAACTGTAAGACTATTCTGGCTTTAAAAGTCTCCAGAATCAAGGACTGGCTGCTCCAGGTCTCCATGCTGATTCACACCACAACATGACAACCAAGAAAGGCCAACTAGGGCGTGCTGCTTACATCGTCATCCAGAGTCTCGTCATCCAACTCCTCCAGCTGGGCCTGGTTGTATGTGAACTGGATTCGATTCAACACCTCCGAGAGCAAGAGGACTAGGGCGTCTTCGTACCTATGTGCGGGGAGAAATCAACTTCCGGTGAGAGCAAGCTTTTAGCCTCAGCCATCAAAAAGGCATCCTGCACCGTGAAGGGAATGGAGTTCGTGTGTTGAGTTACCGTACACAAAAGGAGCATCTAAACTAAACCAGTGTCTGGGCTGGCAAGTGTGTAGGTGAGCACAGAGCAGTAGCACAGTGTTCTTTATTTAACTACGCTCCAGCACCTTCTTGCTGGACGGTCCCTTTTAACATCTATAATGTCCTTCTTTATCTCTGGCAGCGATTTTTGTCTTCGGTCTATTTTGTCTGACATCAGTGTAGCTACCCTGACCTCTTTTGGTTATTGGTTGCATGAAGTATCTTTTTCTATCCTTTTTATTTCAACCTATCTGTGTCTTTGAAACTAAAGTGAGTCTCTTACAGACAACACGGAGTTGGACAAATTTTTTTCATCCATTCTGCCAATTTCTACTTTTTAACTAGAAATTAACCCTTTACATTTAATGTCATTACTGTTGTTTGTTCCATGTTATATCATTTACTTCTCAATTCTTCCATTTTGTGCTAAACAGATATTTTCTAGTGTACCATTTTAATTCCCTTGTCATTTCTTTTACTATATATATACACACATATATATATTTAATTTTATTTTTTCCATCCCCTTTTATCTCCTCTATGTCCTCTTTCACCTCCACCTCCATAACCATCACACTGTTGTCCAAGACCATGAGTTCACTCTTTTTTTATTTCCTTTTTTACTTAATCCCTCTATTCACACCCACCCCACCCCTCAAGCTGTCTGCTCTCTATTTATTAGTCTGTGTTTAATTTGCTTGGTAGTTCAGTTTGGTCATTAAATTCCACATTTGAGTGAAATCATATGGTACTGTCTTTCTCTGCACCATATATTTTCTCAGTGGTTGCTCTGGGAAATTGCAGACACTACTTATAAATATCAATTAATTCAATGATTCAATCCTTTTAACAACTGAGAGAGCTAAGTGGTATTAATGGTATTCTTCTGATGAGAAAACTACAGTTGACAGAAGCTAAATAAATTGCCCAAAGCTAGCTGAGTTGAATCCAAGGCTCCTAACTCAACACCCCATGTTCTCTACACATAAACCACCAAATGGGCTTTGAGCCTGCTCCACCCAGTCCCCCATTTTTTTCTTTAAATCCTCACCAGAGGATATGTTCTTCGTTGATTTTTTAGAGAGAGAAAAAGGAAGAGGAAGGGGAAGGGGAAGAAAGGGAGGAGGGGAATAGAGGGAAAAGGGAAAGGAGAAGAGGGAGAGGGGAGACGGGGAAGGGGAAAACATAGGTGGGCTGCCCCCTGTACATGCCCTGACCAGAGATTGAACTCACAACCCAGGTATATGCCCTGACTGGGATTCAAACCCACATCCTTTTTTTGTGTACAGAATGATGCTCCAAGCCACCAAGCAACCCAAGCCTGCTCTTTAATCAGTTTTAACAACACATAATCTAAGGGGGAAAATGGCAAGAGCCTGGAGAAACTCTAAAGCACAACAGTTGCTAACGCAAAGGCCAACAAACCACTAATTTTCAAGAACAAATCATGTTGCTTAAGTGCTTGCCTGTCCTGAAATGTTTCTGATAGGATCAGGAATTGCTCCCACTCATAAGACAAGCCATCATGCTGGTCATTCAGCATTCGCCAACCTACTCTCCAGACTGTGATACTGGAGCTGAGATGACACAAAGCACACTTCTCAGCCCACTAGGGTCTCTCAACAGGATGCAGAGGAAGACGGGGGGGGGGGGGGGGGGGGGGGGGAGGGGGGGTGGCAAAGAGGGGAAAGGAGAGAAAGGGACTCCCTCTTCCTATGGGCTTGCTGACCAGCAATGTCAGCCCAGCATAGTCATCTGGTAGTGACACCTATTCCAGTTTCCAGCTTCCGCACTCCCAGAACCAGCCTCCTCGTGCACTCTTAGAAGTGACAATAGTGGCCAAATTATTCTCTCTCCTCAAAGGATTCAGTGCCCGCTCCATGGGTCCCCAGGAGCTCCTGTGGCAGTGGGGTACCCTCTGTCCTCAGACACATGAGCTCTAGCTGCCTGGGTTCATCTCTCTGATGAAGATTTCATAACCCCAACCTCTTTCCTTTGGTACCCTCAACCTAGGGGTGGAGTTGCTTCCTATAGTTATCTGTTATCTCAGGGTTCCCCTTTTACTTTCCCAGACCTCTAAAACCAGTTTAATCAATTTCCTACACTGAATTCTTAAAATAATCTAGTAATTTCTGTTTTCCTGACAGGACTCAGTCTATATATGTGAATACTAGGAATAATAAGATAACCAAAGTTGAATAAAATCCAATGTCAAGATCAAATACAAGCCATCTAGGCCACGGCTGGGACCGAGGCGGCTGGCCACAGCGCTCAGAGCACCCAGGATGGGCACCCCAGACTCTGTGGTGAGCGAGCCGCTCCCTTGGCAGGCCCCCACTGAGGCCCGGGGCTTCAAGCAGGCCTCGGCCCACATCTTCCAGGACACAGAGCTGCTGCAGATCCAGAGTCTGTTCCAGCATAGCGGGGACCAGCTGGCGGAGGAGCGGGCACAGATCATCTCGGAGTGAGCAGGGGACCACCATGTGGTGGAGGCCTTGAGGAGGCTGCGCAGAAAGAGACCCCCGAGGCAGAAAGCCCTGGGCCACTCGCTACATCGCTGCAGCCGGCTCAGAATCCCAGAGCCCCGAGATCCACAGAGCAGCGCCACAGAGACGGCTTCCAGCGACCAGTATCTGAACACCAGGAGGACAAGTGCCGGGATCCGCCGGAATTGGAGGAAGTCGGGCCCCACAAGCTACCTCCATCAGATCAGACACTGATCCAGGGAAGGGGCTGAGAATGGCACTATCTTCCCAGGAATCAGGGACTTTGTCCACAGGGCCCGGGAAGGTGAAGGAGGAAGACCTAAAGCAGACAGCCCCACATGCTGCTGCTGGCCTGCTCAGTTCAGAAGAGGACTGGAGACATCCACTGAGCGCTAATTGTGTGGGACCATTCCTCACCAGGAGCAGCAACAGTGACGATTATGCCTTGGCCCTTCCCCACCTAACACTATACTTGGGCTGCATGACATTCCCCTGGGAGTTAAATGACAGGCACGCAGACCAAGCATCTCACCACTCCTGCTACTAACCCTCCTGTGTTATGACCCATGGTCCATCAGCCTGTCCTACACCCCTGTGTAAACTGTGGTTAAGTGGCAAAATAAAAACGTTGGTACAAAAACAAAACAAAACAAAAAAAAAACCCCAAAACAAACAAACAAAAAAACAAATACAAGCCATCTAGTCTAATAAGAATTCCAACTTATGTGATGAAAGTGTTTGTAAATGACTTCACAACCTAGATTACATTGGTTACTAAACATGGCCCAGAGAAGAATACTGGCAGGGAAATCAGTAATAAAAAGGCAACATCTATGGGGGAAATGGCAAGAGAATCAAAATCCCAGGCACAGAGATCATACCAGAAGAAAAAAATCAAAAGCATTCAACTTGAAAAGGAGTAAGTAAAATTGTCATTATCTGAAGAAGACATGATATTGTACATAGAAAATCTAAAGACTCCACACAAAAAAACCACTAGAATTAATAAATGAGCCCGGCAGGTGTGACTCAGTAGTTGAGCATCAACCTATGAACCAAGAGGTCACAGTTCAATTACCATATAGGGCATATGCCTGGGTTGTGGGCTCCATCCCCAGAGGATGTACAGGAGGTAGGCAATCATTGATTCTTTCTCATTATTGAAATTTCTCTCTCTTTCCCTTTTTCTCTGAAATATATATATGTATGTTTGTGTGTGCACCTGTGTGTGTGTGTATCCTATCCTATATAATAAAAGCCTAGGTGGCATGACACCCTTGCGCAACATCGTCACAAGATGGCTGCCACAAGATAACCACACGCACAGCAGAGGCGGGGCGCAGTGGCCGCTCTGTGCAGTGAGACCTGGGGGTCCTGTGGCTCTATGTGGCGCAGAGGAGGCTGGTCTCAGTGTCTCCACCACCTCACACAGAGGAGGCAGCTCACAGTAGGGAAGGGCAGTTGTGGGTGATCAGGCCAGCAGGGGAGGGCAGTTGGGAGAGATCAGGCCAGCAGGGGAGGGCAATTGGAGGCCATCATGCCAGGCAGGGGAGGACAGTTGGGGGTGAACAGGCTGGCAGGGGAAGGCAGTGTGGGTGACCAGGACAGCAGGGGAGGGCAATTGGGGGCCAACAGGCCAGCAGGGGAGCAGTTAGGCATCAATCAGGCCAGAAGGGAAGTGGTTAGGGGACAATCAGGCAGACAGGCAGGCAAACAGTTAGGAGCCAGTGGTCCTGGATTGTGAGAGGGATGTCTGACTGCCTGTTTATCGGATCTAAACTGATAGTCAGACATCCCCTGAGGGGTCCCAGATTGAAGAGGGTACAGGCCAGGTTAAGGAACAGTCCCACCCCCATGCAAAAATTTTGTGTATAATAAAAAGCTAATATGCAAACTGACTGAACAGCAGAACGACCAGTCACTATGATGCTCACTGACCATCGGGGCAGATACTCAACAGAGGAACTGCCCCCTGGTGGTCAGCGTGCTCCCCAGGAGAAGTGATACTCAGCCAGAAGCCAGGCTCACAGCTGGAGAGCGCGGCAGCGGTTGCGGGAGCCTCTCCTGCCTCTGTGGCAGCGCTAAGGCGTCCACCTGATGGCTCCCAGACTCCAAGAGAGGGCCAGGCCGGGCTGAGGAACCACCCGCCCAGTGCACAAATTTTGTAACTAACTAACTAACTAACTAACTAACTAAATAAATAAATAAATAAGATACCTTGGAATAGCCCTAGCTGGTTTGGCTCAGTGGATAGAGCATCAGTTTGTGGACCGAATGGTCTCAGGTTCAATTCCAGCCAAAGGCACATGCCTGGGTTGCAGGCTCAACCCCCAGTAGGGGGCATGCAATGATTCTCTCTCATCATTGATCTTTTTATCTATCTCTCCC